CCCTTATGTTGCTATATTTTTCATTAACGTTCATACCAGTGGGATATATATATCCCACTGTAATGCATCTATGCCTCAGCTAAGTTTGCTATTTTAAGTCACTTGCAATTTCTGATACGACATTGGCAAAAATGTATCACAAACCATCGCTGTAAATGTCTAACGCAGTATACTCGACAAGAAAATTATTCCCACCTTACCTTACTAGTCTCAAAGCCGCCATGATTCAACTGGCATGAAAGTACTCGATAATGCATTATGCACCGATCATTCTAGCAGCAACTCATGCAGCGACAACAGCAGAGACAACGACCACATTAGCAACAGCAGACACAACAGTAACGCTGGGAACAGGAGTGGCTGCGACAAAAGTAGGACCAACGACCACAACAGCAAAAGCAACCACAGCTGCAGCAATGACTTCTGCACAGACCACTGCAGCGGTAATGACTGCGGAACCGACCGCTGCAGCGGTGATGGCTACAGAACCGACCGCTGCAGCGGAAATAACTACCAAACCGACCGCTGCAGTCGCAGTATCTACCGAACAAATAACAACTGCAGCTGCAATGACGACTAAACCGACCGCTGCAGCGGCAATGACTACCGACCCGACCGCTGCAGCGGCAATGACTACAGACACGACCGCTGCATCGGTAATGGCTACCGACCCGACCGCTGCAGCGGCAACGACTACCGAACCGACCGCTGCAGCGACAATGACTACTGAACCGACCGCTGCAGCGACAATGACTACCGAACCGACCGCTGCATCGAAAATGACTACCGAACCGACCGCTGCAGCGACAATGACTACTGAACCGACCGCTGCATCGACAATGACTACCGAACCGACCACTACAGCGGCAATGATGACCGCTGCTCCGGCAATAACTACCGACCCGACCGCTGCACCGGCAATAACTACCGAATCAACCGCTGCAGCGGCAATGACTACTGAACCGACCGCTGCAGTCGCAATATCTACCGAACCGACCGCTGCATTGGTAATGACTACCGACCCGACCACTGCATCGATAATAACTACCGATCCGACCACTACAGCGGCAATAACTATCGACCAGACCGCTGCAGCGGCGATGACTACCGACCCGACCGCTACAGCGGCAATAGCTACCGACCCGACAGCTACAGCGGCAAAGACTACCGATCCGACCGCTACAGCGGCAATAGCTGCCGACCCGACCGCTGCAGCGATAATGGCTACAGAACCGACCGCTACAGGGGTTATGACGACCAAAGCAACAAATATGACTGCAGTACAGACTGAACTGCCCACAGCACTTACTACGCTGGCCACAACACCAATTGAGCTTCGCACAACATCTGAGCCACCCATAACACCGAATGAGCCAACCACAACAACAACACCAACAAGAGAGACGACCACAACAATAGGGCCGTATTTAACTCAGCTATCAACGGCTATGAGAACAGGTGTGTTTTTCTTTCTTTTATTACGACTGGGGTTTTGAATGAGCAAGTTTTGCAGTGAGTGTTACTTGTACTGTGACCATATTTTGCATGGGCAGCCAAAGAGCCATGCAAAGTTTTTTTAGTGGAAGATGGTGTCCAGTAGAAGTTGCTTCTTTATAGAGATGTTTCCCGTGTTAGACAATAGGTACATGGTATTTAGTGATTAATTCATTATCGTGGTATAGTCATCAAACAGGAGTGACTGTGAGCTGAGTAACCTAAGCTTGGCCAGAGCACTGAGTCCTCAATGATATTTAGTCACCCTGTGATGTACAATGTATTTATTCACCTAGTTGCTAGCATGCTAAAATTACCATAGTCGCCATCAACTTATATTAGCGTTTTTTAACTGTGTGAAATTATTGAATGTGCTGCTCATTATGAAATGTACTAAAACCCTAATGAATTTAGTCACCTAGAATTACCTGTTTACCTTGGCGGATACTAATTTCTGGTACATGATAGCTTCTACCGCGAGGTCTGCATATCTAGTACGTAGTTATCACAGTAAATAGAATTGTGGCACTAGGATTAGGTCTGGCCGATACATTCAGACAACGCACGGGACAGTCTTAGTAATTCATAACATTATTTGTGTTCATTTAAAATTCTAAAATATGATTATTTCTCTGCGTGGAAACGCAAATGTTTACATGTTAGGCTGTCAAAAATCACTTAACGAAATCCAAATAACTTCCAAATAACCTTAACAAATGGATAATGAATGAAACAATGAATGAAATAAATCTAGGACCGGGTAACCATGTATGAATTAAGAACGTATCATGACGTCACCTACCTTTATAAAATATTTCTCATTCTTTAGTAACCAGCTTGACAGGATGTGGAGGTAACCTGATTGGTTCCTCTGGAGGCCCTGTGACGTCACCAAACTACCCCTTTAACTATGGCAACTATGAAAACTGCACGTGGTTGGTCACTGTACCAGAGGGAAGCATCATTCGTCTCACGTTCGACAGTTTCGACATTGAGTACAGTTACGACTTTCTAACCATCTACGATGGAACCAGTGACGGTGCTCCGATATTACAGCGGTAATACCATAGACCCAAATTGCAGTTTACTGTGCACGTATCATAACAATAAGATCAAGGGCGTGGCTTCAAATCCACATACATAGATAAGGGTATGTAGTGTTCAACCTTACTAGATATTTCGACAAGGAGAATTTGGCATCATCAGCAGCACATGCACAATAACGATTATTGCACAATAATAGCTTTTACAATTAAAGGAATTCAATAGATGTAATGGTGAGGACCAATAGTTGTTTTTTTAATCATTTTGGATAACGAAACAAAATTAGGCTACAAGTCGAGAATAACACAATAACCTGTGTGATTATTTCTGAATGTCCAGGTTAACAGGTTACCAGAGATCAATCAGCCCCATCATCAGCACATCTAACACGATGTTCCTGAGGTTTACATCTGATTACAGTATCACCCTCCAGGGGTTCCAGTTCTCCTACATAAGTAAGGTCTTTCATTACACATCTAACAGTAACCATTCGATTTACTTTGGGGTACATGGTGTGCTGTTTCATATAAACTGCTTTGTCATCTCTGTAAAAAAAACACAACTCTTTCTGGCTTTGTGGCCGGGATAACTTAGGAAGGCATTTATTAATTGTGTTAATGTTTGATATGTGAGTAGACTTTAAAAAAGACAAATGTCAAAGTCAAGCATGGTTCTCCTTGAGGCTGATCTTCGTATTGCAACCGAACTTGTTCACCCTAGCATCTTGTTCTGGAACTGTTGGAGAGTTCAAATTCAAATTGTGTAAAAGAGGGCTTAAATTGCATTTGTAATGATTAATGATTAATAATATGTAATGCCAGCATTTTATGTAATTAGACATTGATACTAGTTAAAGGTTAATGACCCGCCTGATCATCGGTGTATATGGTGTGATAAAGTCTTGGCAGTTGCTATAACCACGAAAGAAACACAGAGTGAGCGTTATTTATTTATTTTTATTTATTAAAATTCATCACAACAGTGAAAGGGACGGGGGAACAGGTCTAACACCTTTACCAGCCCTCGTCCCGATACAGCATACAAATACAATAGACTCAAGTATAAAATAATGAGTGAACAATATGAGAATTACATATACATATACACAATGAATGAAAAAAAAGACGGCATGATTTAACAAGCTAAATATAGACAGACTACCGAACCCTCAAATCCTGACAAGACGCGCACTTGCACGCAGTGGACCATGTACAGAGGTTGTCAGGTTTGATGTTTGAATCTCTCATCAGCAGATTTCACAAGACAACGCTTAAAAGACCATAAGTCAGACTGATTTGACGTCGAAGCCCCTTTGTTACGAACTGCGACGTTAAGCTTATTCCATTCAGTTACCAGACGTGGTATGCATGCCATGGCAAATGTAGATGCTTTACAACGGCTTGGCATTAATATGTAAGACCGGTTACTCCTTGCTGGTCTGGTGGAATATGATACATATTCATACACGTTCAGGTCATACATACTTGAAAGGGACTTAACGAAAACCATGATGTCGGCAGTCTCCCTCCTGTAAGACAGAGGTAGCATGTTTAGGTACAATAATTTGTCCTTGTAGTTAAGTTCACTGACATTTTCATTGTTGCGAAGAATGAACTTAGTCGCCCGCCTCTGAACTCCTCCAAGAGGGCCATGAGGTTACGCGACAGCGGTGACCAAACGGGGCAACAATACTCGAGAAGTGATCTGACTAGTGTAATATACAATGCTTTACGTATATCCAGGCTGGAATCATAACCGACAGTGCGTATAATGAAACACATCATCGAGTTTGCTTTAGCTACAATGTTTACAATATGCTTATTTCACAACAAGTCAGACTTGGCAAGAACACCCAAGTCGTTCATGCTACTGACTGAACATAGGGCTATATCTGACATGTGGTAGGTAAAAGTGATTGGACTCTTGGAGCGAGTCAAGCGGATTACCTTACATTTAGATGGATGGAATGACATCCCCCACTTGAGACTCCACTCATACATAGAAGAAATATCGGCCCGTAGTTTATCACAGTCATGTAGGTTACGAATCTCTCTATAGCATTTTGAGTCGTCAGCAAACAACGCTACAGTGGAGTGCTTTGCAGTACAATGTAAATCGGTAATATACAATAAGAATAGCATTGTGCCCAAGATGGAGCCCTGAGGCACACCAGAAGTAACGGGGAGCCACTGTGAATGACAGCCTTCTACTACCACCCGTTGCTTTCGGTTAGTGAGGTACGAGTTAAACCATGACAAAAGCTTGCCGTTAAACCCGTACATCTGTAGTTTGTGAAGCAACCGAGAGTGCCTTTGCAAAGTCCAAAAAGAGCATGTCGACTTGCTCGCCTCTGTCGAGGATGGAGCCCACACTGTGATAAACCTTCAACAGCTGGGTGGTTGTAGAACGCCCCTTAATAAAACCATGTTGGAGATCATGAATTGACTCATGCAGAATTGGGAACATCATATCGTAAATGCACCGCTCCATGACCTTGCTGACGATGGACAATAAAGAAACCGGACGGTAATTTGAAACGTATTTTTGCTTATCACCGTTTTTGAAAACAGGGGATACATTAGCCTCTTTCCAGCAAGACGGAACCGCTTCTAAAGTGACAGATTTATTAAACAGTAAGGTCAAAGGGAAAGCAAGTGCCTGGGCACAATTCTTTAACATAAATGGGGAAATACTGTCAGGGCCGACGTCCTTACTTGTGTCAAGATTAACAAGTGCATCTCGGACTGAGTCAACATTAAACTGTAGGTCACCGAGACTGTCAACAACTTTGATGTCAATAGTTGGTTTGCTAACATTCTGGTCGGCTGGACTAAAAGTAGAGAAAAAAATACTTATTGAACAATGTAGCCTTATCGGCTGCAGCATTATGAGGTGGTTATAGAAACTGACAAGGCTCACCACACCATATACACCGAGGATCAGGCGAGTATTTAACGTTATTATCATATAGCCTATCCAAACGTACACAGTGAAGACTGCCACATTCCTGTATAACACATGTAAACTTAAATTATATAACAAAAAATTACGGTCACTCCCTTATTTTCCCATCCGCTAGCCGCTGATTCCCCAATTCCAAGGACCCACATATTAAGTCTTAATTGGCCTTAATTAGTTCTTCTATGAACTTTGCGACACCACATTGTTCATTGAATAACCATGAGTGTGATCTTTACCTGTTCTATCATAGTTCATATGAGTTTACCGGAATTTTTGAACAGAACTTGTATTCCATTTGTGGTTAGTTTGTGCCAAAAGAATAGAGCGAGGTTTCATATAAAGTAATTGCAGGTCATTTGGATGTTTCTATACAGAAATATACTTACTATTGGGGGTGGCGGAATTTTTTTTCTTTCCTTTAAATCAGTCACATATATTGACATTATCTTTATTTTGCTATGCATTGCTGAAAGAAGTTGTTGATACCATACTGGTAAGAAAAATTTTTTTTTTAAAAGAAACGTGCTACACATGTTGGCAAAAAGAGTCCACACCCCCTGCATAATGGTTTACTCCCATTATACTCAAGTGTGCATTATTTAACAACAAAGGTACACTAGTGAAATAATACACAATAGGGATGATTTTGAAATACTTGTATCAGGCTGATTGTGACGTTATGGGGTCATAACCAATATGAAATGGGGACTCTGATTGGTCAACTCCACCTGGCTATATGATAATATATAATGGATAACAGGTAGAATATTAACATATACAAATTTTGCTGATTACAACCTAATTTGAGCAATTGCACTAAAATGCTATGCATGACGTATCAGTGGTAAATGCTTGTAGTTTTATACGTATAAGACAGGTGTAATTAAAAAAAATAACATCATTTTTTTAATATGTCAGTGTGGAGATCACTTTCATATTCAACGATGAAATGTTAAAATGAAAAAAAATGTCAAAGGGTAGGTGTTCCAGTTTTAAATATTTGTTAATAATATTTGTTAATATTATAATAAAAGTTCAATTAAAAAGGAATGAATTCAAATGGATATTCTAATTACAACACCGTTTCCAAAATGAATTATACAAATGGAAATTTACCAAATCTTTTTGTGTTTCATTGGTTTCCAAATTGTTCTTTTTGTTGGTTTCAGGATTTGTACGTGTTTTATTTGAATGATGCAGCATTAGCTGCAAAGGAGGAAATTCACACAGCCTTCTTTCTTTCAGGCCGTACAGCTGACGAATGCTGGGATCCCGGTGTGCCGACCAATGGAAAGAGGAATAACAACAGTAACTTTACATCAGGACAGACAGTCAGGTACAGCTGTCGGGACAGATATCATCTGTTTGGGACTGCAGATATTGCCTGTCAGTCGAACGGGAAATGGAGTGATGCTACGCCAACTTGTGAAGGTAAAAAAAAATGTTACTTAGTCATGAGTAGAAACCTAAAAAAAATCTTGTGTTCATACTTTGGCCAGTACCGAAGAATGATACCCCAGTGTCTCCTGATCATCTTAAGATAAGTCAATTATATGGGATGTTATTAATATTAGAAACCATGTGTAACTTGGACATAAACCCATAAAATTCTATTGTTGAAACGAAAATTACTACATTTAGCAAAAAAATGCCTGTCAGAAACCCAGTTGTGAGTCATTCTGTGTAGACAGCTCTACATATAACAGACAGTCATCGGCAAACAACTTCACATTTAAGTCAAGCTGATCTGGTAGGTCATTTATGTACAAGAGGAATAGTATTGGTCCCAGGATAGTTCCTTGTGGAACTCCTGACGCTACTGTAACTGGAGCTTGGATTCCATAATGCTCCAGTTTTGATATAAGCCTGCCATGGGGGAACTTTGTCGAACGCTTTTGTGAAGTTGACTATCGCTGAATCTACCCGCTTTTTACTTTTCAGTGCACCAGCGATGTTTTCAGTAGTGTTTGTCCGTCTGTCTGTTTATCTGTTTGTCTGTCTGTGAACAGCATAACTCAAGAAGCTTAGTATGCATTGTCATGAAACTTGGTAGGTGGGTAGGTCTTGATAAGACCTAGTAATGATTAGATTTTGGGCCCCCTTGCGGCTTTTGTTGGTACTGCAGCAGAACTTCCGGTTTTGGGCTAGGGTCACGAATTTTGGTTGGTAGATAGCTCTTGAGGTAGGGAAAAGGCAACTGCAGGAGCATTTGTTGAAAAATTTTCGAAGGATGATAACTCAAGATTCGGTTGGCGGATTGTCGTGATTTTTGTAATACTATGAAGGTAGCTGAAGGGATGCTTGAAATAATAAAATGACAATTATGGAAATAAGGAGCTAATCTGTAAATTTAATCATCTGAGGATATAGATTATGTAAATGAAGACCTAATTTGCATAAGTAATTGATTTTTTAGTTGTAACTGCTGGAAATTTCAAACTTGCCACATTTTGAAGTTAAGTGAAGGCGAACATCAATAAACATAATTTATGCAAACCATGCACTCATTTGCATAATTTTTGAGGAAGTGCTTTAATATCCTTTTTGTTAAGATAAGACTGACATTGGGTGGAGGATATAATCAACTGATATAACCCATGCAAATGAGGATCTTATTTGCAAAACCAATTATCAAAATTGTATTTAGTCTTCAACCGCAAGGGTTAACAAAATTCGGCGAAGGTATGAGATCGTGGAACTCTTGTTTAAACTGTAATGCCCAACACAAGAAAATGGACTCACCTAAATTTTCGACTGCACAACTCGAGTCTTTGTCAAGGAATGAACAAACCACCACCTCCGTGACGTCACGCAGATGACACACATGACTTTGTGAGCAGTGGATCATAGGTTGCAGAAAGTTTGTGGCGCCCCCGTCTCTGTTAAGTGAGGCTGAATGACCAGGCGATTCTCTGTGTGTATATACACAGAGTGCGATTTCAGTAGCTGTCATTTTGAGCAGCCATGGTTGCGTTTGGTCCTTACCGCATGCTTTAGATGGGTTGATAATCAGAAGACAAGTATGCAAATCAGGAACTAAATAATTAATTGTGACATTCAATAAATCTGCTTCGTTCGATGATGGGACTATGAAACACTTAGATCGTGTAAATGGAGACCTAATTTTTACAATTAATGGGAAATCGTTATAATTATATTGTTGTAACTGCTGGGAATTTTATACTTTATATACGTATTTGAAAGTAAAGTAAAGGCGAACATCTATGAACCTTATTTATTCAAATATTGCCCCCTGTTTGCATAATCTATGAGAAAGTTCTAGAATAGCCTTTTTGTGTTAAGATAGGACTGTCATTAAGTGATGAATATGATCAACAGATATAATCCATGCAACTGAGGGGCTCTCATTCACAAATTAATGATTAAAAACCGGGAGAGTTGATATCATTTGGCGAAGGTATGAGTTCGTGGAACTCTTGTCACACATGTAAAAATTTTAATAGTCATTTAATGGAAAGTAGCAGAATTATAGAATCCTATCATAAAGTATGCAAATAAGATCATTATTTGTATGAATGCCATTTGATTATGCCAAGCATCACTTAACGCGTTAACATTCCATCGGCTCTTGAATCATCTGTCACATCACTCCCTTCATTGTCCTCCATGGGTCATATATCTAACTTTGAAATAGTAAAAAAAGTAGGATCTACAAAGGTCATTAAGACGTTAAAGAAACCAGGCAAAATTGAAATAACTTTCTTTGGTAATCTGCCCAATATGTTACCATAGGTATTGAATGGAATTAGTGCATGGACTATGCTTTCTCCATAATGGCGTGACGTTACTGTACCTGCCCTCATAATGTTATTTCTCCGTTCTCAGTAACGAGCGCTACTGGATCCCCAGTAAATACCAGTGTGACTGGAAGGGGAAGTAACGTGACGGGTTCCTCTGGAGGCCCCGTGACGTCACCGAACTTTCCCAATAACTATGGAAACAATAAGAAGTATCAGTGGTCCATCACTGCACCAGAGGGAAGCATCATTCGTCTTACGTTTGACAGTTTCGACACTGAGGAGGGGTATGACGTTTTGACCATCTACGATGGAACCAGTGATAATGCTGCAGAGTTACAGAGGTAATGCTTCAAACACATAACCAGCACTCTCAGGAGGACTCTACATTGTAACTTTAAACAACACTTAAACGTTCGCCTTAATCCCTTTGTTGTTGGACTCTTATACTTTACAACTAATGCTATTATTATCATCATTATCACCATCACTGTTCATATTATTATATTATATCTTCATTATTGTTGTTATTACTGTAACAGTGGATTTTTTTATTATTTACTTCTTATATTATTGTTAGTTATTACTAGAATGAATGGTAGTCTTCTGTATCTCTTCTACGTAAACTCCGAAGAGAACTAAGTTTCCTGTCTATTCACAAACTGGACAGACATATGGGTTGGGTAGCCGTGCGCACGCGACGGTTGAGTGTTTATTCACAACATGGATAACCGAAGATGGATAACGGAATAGATTAAGCCACTAGGTAATGACGGTTTACTGAGTCAGTATACATTATCTGGTCCGAGTGACGGACAATAAGGTAGATGAATAGTTTATATTATCTGGCCGAAGTGACAACAATAAGGAAGGTAATAGTTTACATTATCTGGTTGAGGAACAATTACAAAGTAGATAAACAGTTTACGGTACCTGGGCCAGTGACAAACCACAGGGTACATAAACAGTTTATATTGTCTAGCCCAAGTGACGAACAAAAGATAAACAGTTTACATGTCTGGTATAAGCACCACATTGTAGGTAACACAGTTTACATTATCTGGCGTCACTGACTACTTACGAGAGAGATACAGTGTACATTTCTGGTACCAGAGGGTAACAGTTACATTAATTAAGGTGGGAATAATGGCGTATACGGTAAGAAAAGGGGGCCAAAAATTTGAAGGAATACACAAGATGGGGTAAACTCAGGTGCCGAGCTAGCGGCGATCTGAACGTAGGCTCAGTGTAAACGAGAGTAAGCTTTGGCAGGGAAAACGGGCGACCGGGTTAGTGTGGCAGAGGGGTAGGGCGGGAAGGGTACTCAACCACTCACTAGAAGTGGCGACGACGAATGAAGAGGAGTCGGTGGGTAGGTAAGGGTTAAGAAGTGAGGACTCCTCTTCTTTCGTCATAACCTGCAATAGGAGAGGGTTATGGATAGGGGAGCATCCGTCTAATTTGTGAGGACGAACGTTCAACGTATACGTGAGCCCGAAAGTAGCACGATGAACTAGATAGAGTATATCCCAGCAGGTTGAGAGGCTGCACGATGGGTTTTCACAAGTAGGTCGCACAGCCTCATGGGGGTGTGGCCCTGCTACAGGCGGTTTACGGACCGTGTACTGTCCGACTTACGAGCTGCACGTGTCCGCACGGGGTAAGTGCAGCCAAGTGGTAACGGGCGCGTGTCCACACGGAGTCATGTAGTCGATGTGTTAGCAGGCTTGTGCCCACACGGGGGATAGGGAGTCGAGGTGTCAGCAGGCTCTTGTCCACACTGGGGACACGAGTCAAGGCGTTAGCGGGTTCGAGCTCGCACGGGGGGCATAAAATCGAAGTGTTATTTTTAGCAGGAGAATGACTGTCCGGCCGTCCGGGGATTGGTAGTAATCTATTGACGGTGATGACGGACCCAACACAGGAACCGAACCTGGTCAATGCTGCAACTGTACTCCCTAAGCGGGAGGAGTGGAAAAAAAGGGTTGCAAAGCAGGAATTTGGGTGAGAGAATGAACGGTGACGCCCCAGTCCGGGGGGAGGGGCCGGAGGTGCGAGAGAGCAAACTCAAACCAAGGGATGGGGTGGGGTGGGGTGGGGTGGTCGAAGAGGAGAAGTAAGGAAAATTACGTGTAAACACCGAGAATAAAACGAGGGGTGGATAAAAGGGGGGACCGGTAAGGGTGGCATGTTCCGCACGGGAAGAAACGGAGAGCCAAAAGTCGGAACCCAAGGGGCACACGAGCGAACGTGGAGTTCAAGGGAGCGGCACTCAGCAGGTCCGGACCAGGTGGAAGGTCTGTCCAGTTCGTCGAATAGATGACGTCCGTTGGGGCAGAGGAGCGGCCACCAGGAAGCTGAACACCATAATGGTGCGATGAGTATCCCACATGTGCAGCAGGCGCCCTGTTTAATCTTGAAAAGAACTCTCGGGATGAGTCGGTGAGAGGGGAATAACCATTTGGTTTGTTGTGCCCACGACAATGTGAAAGCATTAACCGAGCCAAACCATGCTCCCGCTACCAAGAAAAGGGGGTTAATTGCGGTTCTGTACACACAGATTATAGATAGCGATAGCCTCTTGTTGCAACGGTGGTACTGGGCTACCTCCGGAGAGTATGCGAACGACGTTCTGATTGTCGGAACGGTGGAGAACCTGTTTATTGGGGAGAAGGTGGATAAGTGATTGGAGTACCAGTCTGGTACCGAGAAGCTCCCTGTAAGTGGAGCTTGTAAAAGGGGCTGCCTGGTGACGCTCCCAGTTGCCCCTCGCTGTGTGGGTTGAACCAAGGGTGACGGTAAAGCCACACCAGGCATGGTTGCGGGCGTCGGAGTAAGTAATAATATCTACTGAGGGGGATGGTGTCCATAACCTAGTAAACGGGGAAAATGTCTCTCCAAAACAGAAGTTCATCCTTCGCCTTTCGTGGCAAGCAGTGATGGGAGTCCCATGATACAGCACTGGAAATAAAAGCGTACAAACTCCTGGTCCATAAGCTGACCACAGGGCCCAGAGCTAAACTCATGGACACCACGCCCGTGATGCGTGCAGCAGACCGTGCCGAAATTCTGTCGGCAGAGGAAATGACATTAGCGATGAGGCTGAATGGAAAATGAAGTTCTTGAATGGCGGCGTCTACAAATGCGCTCTGTGTGTAGCAAGACTGTTGGTTGGGGAAAATTTTATTAGGTTAAAATTGTAAAAAAAAGGAGGCAAAAGCCATGTTGAATGATGCGGAGGACAAAAGAGGAGGCGCCAATGGAACGCCATTCGTCTATACGCTCCAGCTGTCTCCCGGGATCCCACGGACCTTACGGTGGTCTGCATTCTGTTTGAAACAATGTGTGTTTGGTCGTTGATGTGGTCAAACGGGGCCGACAAAGGAAAGTCCGGGGTGTCGCTAGAAGTAGCAGGGGGTGTTTGAGAAGCAGCAACATAGTCATGGGAATCGTCTGCCCGTATGTATGAAAAATGAACAGAAAGTGAGCTATTTGGTCCTCCTGGTCGCCTCAATGTTAGAGTAAAAACGGTCGACAGCCGACCAAGAGACTTTGTCAGCAAGGATAATGACGCGATTGCGTGTGTCAATCTCACCTATCGCTTTATTACCTCCATGAAAAATGGAGGTATCGTTTTTGGAGCGTCTGTGTGTGTGTGTATGTGTGTGTGCGTTTCCGCAAATTTGTAGTCAGCATAACTTCAGAACACCTTTATGGATTGTGATGATATTTGGTGTGCTGGTAGGTCTTCGGAAGCCAAATGTCAAGGTCAAATACGGGCTTCCTGGTGACTGACCTTCATACTGCAGCAGAACTTCTGGGAAAACAGATGTGCAGGGTGACAGGGAAACCAGATGTGCTGGGTGGCAGGGAAAACAGATGTGCGGGGTGGAGGCAGCCTCCCTCGGGAAAAGCCTACATGACCATATCCAGGCCAAAGGTGCAAATCGAGGCATTGTTTTTGGCGCGTCTTTATGTGTGTGTATGTGTGTGTATGTTTCCGCACATTTGATTTGTAGTCAGCATAACTTCATAACGCATTTATTGATTGTGATGATATTTGGTATGCTGGTAAGTCTAAGGAAGCTGAAGGTCAAGGTTAAAAATGGGCCTGCTGGTTGATGACCTTTGGTACTAAAGCAGAACTTCCAGTTTTCGTATCTTTTGTCCTGAACATGTTATGGACTTGATGTTTTGGTGACGGATAGCTTGTTCTGCCAGGAACAATTGGTGTAAGTTTGATCCTCCTAGTGGCTTATTCTGGAACTGCAGGTTAGTTTCTGGTAAAAACTTTTAAAGCCAATAAGTCCAGATAGGAATAACATATTTTTATTATTTTTGGTCTGTATGTAGCTGAGACAGAGTTGTACATAATCAAATGCAAATTATGCAAATAATGACTTAATTTGCATAATAAATGAGAAACTTCTATAATTACAGTGTTTTATATAATAGTACTGCTATACATGTAATCTATTTAATCTGTGACAGGCGGAACATCAACAAATACCAATTATGCAAGTGGTGACGTAATTTGCATAATTAATGTGAAAATTTTGTGACAACTTATTGGCGAATGATGGGAATTTCATACCTTGTGACATGTGTTAGTTACTTAAAGGTTAACACCATTATGCATATATTATGTTAATTTAGAGGTCATTTGCATATTTGATGAAGACATGTCATTTAGGTTTGAGACCTACGAATTTTTGTTGATGAGGGCGTTCTTGTCCTCCGGTGAAGTTAGCAACGTAGCTGTTGTAAGCTGGTCTCGCAGACCGATGTTGAAGGTGTAGTTCTTCTTGTTCCCTTCTCGGGTCCAGATTCGCTTCGTGCTGGGCGTCTGTCGGGAAGCCAGAACCTCCGATTGCAAGGCCTCCAATCGCTGGTTTACAGCCGCCTGTTTACGTTCCATACACGACAGGGCAGCCATGATGGAGTCTGAGTTCTCTGGCGGATTGGATAGCCGAGAGGGGCCGGCCTGAGCTGGCTGGGTTGCTGGTGTCCTGCAGAAGCGATCCTCGAGAGTATTACTAGTCGGTAGTGCCGATGGGGTGAGGACCAACGCGTCAGGATCGGTGCCCACGCGCTTGAATTCGTGGAAGAAAAAGAAGGGCGCGGAGCGGGCGGCGTGTCGGCGGGCGGGGGAGTATCCGTCCAATTTGCGAGCCGACAAGAAACGTGGTTTTTCAATATGGACAGCAGGCGTGGATAGGACATTTGCCTGTTCCCCCAGTCCTGTCTTGTGACAAAGATTAAACAAAGATGTTTTACCAGTAGAACGTCCTTGGTTTAAATAAAAAACAACAACTCCACTGAATATCTGTAGTAAGAATTGTTTTATTTATTTTACAGATTGGTTTATTTATTTCACCCACAACTTCATAGTATAAAGGATAAACTATAGTGTGCTGTGCTCTGATCATAATATTCATCATAATATCTAAACTGGGGGGCAAAGTGCCCGCGCCAACTTTGATGTCGGATAGCGTCTGAACGGCATGCGCTAGGGCCACCAAACTTGGTGCCTTTTCCTAAAATATTACTTGCAACAAAATCATAGCAGTGAGATAAATTTATAATTTTTCGTTTTGCCACGAGAGCGGGTTTCTGACGGGCATTTTATGCAAAAATCAGTAATTTTGGCTTAAACAGTAAACTTTTTTTGTCTTTTATGTTGATTTGCACATGCTCTCCAATGTTAATAACATCGTATGTAATTCTGTGTAATTTTTATCAATATTTATGCAGAATTTATGCTAATCGGATGACGTCATTGCTCTAAATCCAAGATGGTGGACCGTATCATAAGATCAGGTACATTTCGGTCATTTTCCTTCAAATCCCTACTTCTACTTTTTTACAGAAAAAGTTTATTTGAACCTATTGTGTCCATTTTCATTGTATTTTTAGGCTTTATGTTTAAAAATTACAATTTCAAAGGTTCAAGATTCACAAAGTGAGAGAAAATTACTAAATGGTTTTACCTCGATCCCTTACCCCTTACCCTACCAGTACCAAGGTTTAATCTTGGGGCCCCTACTTTTTAACTTATTAATCAACCATCTTCCTGAAGCTGTCACAAGTAGTAAAATAACTCTGTGTGCAGATGACACAGCTATATTTTGTGTAAACAAGGATCCCAGGTACAAAGAAAATACACTAAACTCACAACTTAAACAGATAGCTTCCTGGTTTAAAACAAATCGACTAACGCTTAATATCTCAAAGAAAGACAAAGTTGATGTTAATGTGATCCACTATGTAAATAAAATCCTCTCCCAACTTGGTAGTCACTTGGTAGGCTCTTGAGTCACTTCCTAGTATCTGAGAGTTTTACTTAACTCGAGCCTAAGCATTAATAACCACTTGGATAATGTGTGTAGTAAGATGGTGCAGCGACTTGGCCTACTACGGCGACTGTGTCCTTATCTCTGTACTGATGTTGCCAACATGTTGTACAAAACCTTTGTATTGTCGTCACTTGAATACTGCGATGTGGTCTGGAAAAGCTGCGGTGCAACCACTAAGCAACAGCTCGAAGTTCTGCAGAACCGGTCTGCAAGAATCGTCCTCAGGCGTGAATCCAGGTCAAGTGCGGCGGAACTACACCGGGTACTTGGGTGGAGCCAGTTGCAGGACCGTAGGACGCGCCATGTGTGCACCATGCTGTACAAATGCCTCCATGGCTTAGCCCTAGCCTCCTTCGCAGTCTTGTTGGGCGTGGGCGTAATTTTTTCTGTGAGCGACGCGAGTAATATGCCGCCGCGAGGGACGATTTGCTGCCGAGGGACTTTTGCCACGGAGAGAAGGTTTCCGCGCTCCAACAAGACTGCTTCCAATCGGCGACTAGAAAGGGCTATCAAAAAACACTTAGGAGCGATTGGCATGGATGTGTGAGCTTCCCGCAATAAACGCCACCAGTGCAGGGAGGTGTTCACGCCCCATTCCTCGACGAGCCGAAACTTGCAACTTTCTAGCGGTCGCCGATCAACCCGTCGGTAGAACGCCAACGCAACCATTCCCGAAAACCGAGCCCTATCCACTCAACAAAATCCCGTAGTCATTGCTGCTACGAAAAACAACTTTAAACAGATCACTACCACAGGAACCCGCAAGCTAAGCGATATTGCTGGGGGACGTGGACAGATAAACAAAGTGCCGCCATGTTGTTTGGTGGCGGGTTGATCTCACTGGTCATGGGTAACGCACCGCTCCGCAGCAAGTTGTGTAATAAAAAGAATGGCACATTTCACCAGCAAAAATAGTACTGCAAAGTTTGTCTTGGTTTGTTTGCATGGGATGCTTCAATATGCACAGCAATGCCTTTGTTGTAACATTACCAATGTTCAACCTTTCTCTGTTGGAACCTTCCACTATAACGCAAGCTAATAAAACCAACCGTTGACAAAAGGCGAGCGCTCCATGCGTATCTGTGAATTACCCTTGCGCGAACATGTGAATTGGACCTGCACGAACATGTTAATAGCCTGTATGAAAGGCTGGCTTAATCCGAGGTCCTTTCTAGTCGCCGATTGGAAGCAGTCTTGTTGGAGCGCGGAAACCTTCTCTCCGTGGCAAAAGTCCCTCGGCAGCAAATCGTCCCTCGCGGCGGCATATTACTCGCGTCGCTCACAGAAAAAATTACGCCCACGCCCAACAAGACTGCGAAGGAGGCTAGCTTAGCCCCACGGTTATCTACTAAATATTCATTTGCAACAACTAAATACACAACTACGACAGTAGCCAAGCACAATTATTACACAGACCCAACTACACATCCAAAGCAGGCCAACGTACATTTACATATAGAGCGGCAGTAACTTACAATTCACTAAACACTTACACAAAACAAGCACCCACCCTTAACCCTACCTAGACCGGGCTTTTTTTGACATGGGGGGACGGGAGGCGCTCTTTTGACCCCCCCCCCTAAGAACTCGCGAACAGTATGTCGTATGACCACCAAATTTTCAGAGAATGGTGTACTAGTAAAAATTTATCATATCCACAATTTTTATGTCGTTATGACGTAATATGACGTCATTAATGTGATTTTATTGGCCAAAACCGTCTAAATAGGTTTTCCCCTGAAAACTAAATGGTATTCAACATAACTGTACTAAAAGTGTTTATGACAGAATATTATGGTGTACTAAGTCTTATGTTGCCCATAGCAACACCGGTGACGTCATAAAATGATGTCATGCATATTTAAGATATCCGCCATCTTGGATCATCAATCTTGAATTTTCAAAAATAGTTTTTTTTCATGATAAAGCCTAAAATACATTGTAAACATACTAAAGACCTTCATTTAAACCTTTTTTGGAAAAAGAAATGGAAGTATTGATGTAATTTTAATGAAAATAACCTGTATATACCTGTTCTAATGATATGGTCCGCCATCTTGGATTTTGGCCAATGACGTCATCAAATTAGCATAAATTATGCATATTTAATGATTAAATTTACATAAAATTATAAAGGATGTTATTAATATTAGAAACCATGAGTAACTTGACATAAAACCCAAAAAATTCTATTGTTGAAACAAAAAGTAAATTTAGCAAAAATGCCTGTCAGAAACCCGTTGCCATGGCAACACAAAAAATTATTATCTTATTCCAATGATAGAGAATTGTTGCCAACAATATTCTAGGAAAAGTCACCAAGTTTGGCCGTCCTACGGCTAGCCGTTCAGACGCTAGGTGACATCAAAGTTGCCGCGGGCACTTTTAGCCCCCCCCCCGTCTACGGTAGGGTTAAATCATTTAAAGATAGACTGAAATATGACTAGTACTAAACTTCTGACACTTCACTCCTTTCGAACGCTGACCGATTATGATTTAAGTATTTCTTTGTTATCTGCTTGATTTGTATTTATGGTTCAAGTACTTTATTATTTATGATCTACTATTCCTAAGTTTGTATTATTTGGAGCTTGACCTCTGACATCTCACTTCTGACTGATTATGTATTTTGATTTCACTGTTACGTTTAATTATTGTTATTTTGTTATATAATTTTCTTGTATAGGCTCCATTGGAAGTCAGCCCCAACGGCTATAGCTAAAGGGACCACCCATGTGTCCCCAAGATAAATAAATAGATAAATAAACAATACAAGATGCCGGATAGTTAAGGATTTGCATAACGTCACTTCACGACATCACTGGTGTTACTATGGGCAATATACGTTTAAGTGGACCTTAATATTCTATCATGAACACTTTTTCTTATTAAGCTTCTGTTTTACGAAAATAACCTATCTAGATGGTTTAAGTCAGAAAAATTGCAAGAATTACGTCATTATAACGTCATATTACGTCAAAAGTCTTGTTATAGGTTAAATAGGGTTAAAGGCATTTAGACGATGTAACGGTGATATTCAAGACATTACATAGGTGGAAGAAAACAGGCCTGAAGCCAAGAATATTAAAGTAGCTAGTGAATCATATCTTTGTTGTCTTTTTTCAAGGTTAACAGGTGACCCGTGGCCAATCAGCCCCATCATCAGCACATCTAACACGATGTTCCTGAGGTTTACATCTGACTACAGTGTCACCCGTCAGGGGTTCAACTTCTCCTACATAAGTGAGGTCTTGGGTCGTAATTCTAATAGAAACCATGTAAACTATGCTTCGGTTCCGTAATCAATAAGAACTAATTTTCCCTTTCGTTTGGACTGTTTTTTTTCTCGTTTGGACTCTCAAGTATTTGTATGTTTTAATATCATGATAAAAAACATTAACTGCGAGGAAGGGAGTTTATTTTTTCTTCTTTTCTTTCAGGCAGTACAGCAGGCCAATGCTGGGATCCCGGTGTGCCAGCCAATGGGATCAGAGATAACAAAAGTAACTTTACATCAGGACAGACAGTCAGGTACACCTGTATGGCCGGGTATCATCTGTGGGGAACTGCCAATATAACCTGCCAGTCTAACGGAACTTGGAGTCATGGTCCACCAACTTGTGAAGGTAAAAACAAAATCAGCAAATTAGACAATAGAACATTTGCTTCATTGTATACACGTTCTCTGGTAAATGACTGAAGAGATTGGGTACGTGAAGTGTTTATGGAACCTGGACCCATCATCTAAGAAAATATCATTTGGTTTACGTAGTTATTTGCATGGAGTATGCACAACTTTCCTCCCACATGCATGTCATTTTTATGAACCAGAATGGCCGTTATTTTCTCAAAACCATATGCAGCGTATTTCAAGTTTCTAGATCCATAAATGAATCAATGGTTTATGAGGTGTGTGGTAAACCGGCTTTAGAAGCGGGCGGGGTACAGTTGATGCTGTTTTTGTAGTTAGACAAATTTTGGAAAAAGCGAGGGAATGAAAAGTAAACCTTCATTTCCATTTCATTGACTTCAAAGCTGCCTTTGATACTGTCTGGAGGAAGGCTCTGTGGAAAATGATGAGAGCCATTGGGGTAGAGGGGAAAATTGTAAACATCATAGAAGAAATGTATAAGAACACTCAGTGTGCTGTCATTATCAACAGGCAAATCACCAGTTGGTTCCAGGTGGGAGTGGGAGTCAGGCAGGGTTGCTTATTGTCACCTGTCCTTTTCAACATATTTCTTGAGTTTGTGATGGATGAGCTGAAAAGTCTTGATCCCACTTTTCAGCTACATGACAACCTCTCTACTGAGGAGAGATATGCTGATGACACCACTCTTATAGAAAACTTCAAATCTCTACAACAGAACTAGAGTCTGCATGTAAAAAATGGGGGTTAAAGGTCAATGCGGCAAAATGTAAAGTTATCACTAGTGAGGAAACAGATAACATCATGATAGAAGACACAGCAGTTGAGAAGGTCCCTGAATTTGTCTTTCTTGGAAGTGTCGTCCCTGGCACGACTAGCGACATTAAGAGGAGGATAGCGCTTGCTGCCTCTGCATTTGGTAGGCTCAGAAAAACAGTATGGAACCGAAGGGATATTAAAAACCTCAAAGTACGGCTGTTCCAAGCACTTATCCTGCCAATTGCTACATATGCATGTGAAACATGGACCCTGAAAAAATCCTGCTATCCTTTGAAATGAGATGCTTAAGAGTGATACTCTGCATCACCCTGCGGGACCGCATCCCAAATGCAGAAATCCGGTCAAGACTTGGGGCGGAACAAACCATCACTGACAGGATACGCACTAGAAGGCTCAGATGGTTTGGGCACGTGATGCGTAGACCGACAAACACCCTAGTTTATAAGGCGTACCATCAGGACTTCCAAAACCCTAGACCCCGGGGAAGACCACCCAAGAGGTGGAAAGATCAGATCCAGAGTGACACAGGGATTACTCTAAGTGTAGCTGAGGCTATCGCTCTTGACAGAACTGGTTGGAGGAACCTGACGGAGGGGAGCAAGGGGCCAGTACCTGGCCTGGGCACTTAGGCAGGTAGGCAGGTAAACGCGTGGATAACCTCCTGTGCACATGTGTCCTTGTGACCTTTATGCTGTATCTGTAGTCTAACTCGGAAGTTAGTTGATAAAGTCGGTGGTGGAAAGAAACAATTCGTGACGTGTAAACACCGAAGTATTTAATTGCATGATTTTTAGGCAACAACTGTGTAAGCTGGAAACTTTAAATAAAATAAAACCGAGGTGACAATGCATGGTGGTCAAATCTGGGCTGCAAAGTTCCCACATGTCATAGAACCCGAACTGTGTTCGATGGTGTTCGATCTGGGCAATTCAAATCGAACCCACGTTCCATTTCGGGGTCACCTGCGGTCATTTACAATAAAGCGGCAAAACAAGCCCTTCTGTCTGTGAGTGCCTCGCAACAGATGAAAAACAACACTTTTCTATAGATACAGACATTTTCCTGGACATTACATGTCCGCTACAATTTTTGGTGTGTATTTAACATGTAGCGAAGCTATTGTCGTATCCTTGGGTGACCTTAAATACTGTAATGATTCTTTACGCTTGAATGAATAACACAATGCACACTTTCGGGCGATATGACATGTCTGCAAAACTCGTTCAAACCTGAAAACATGGAGAGTCAAACAGACCCCATATACGGCTGAAAATGACTGTCACGATTGTCCCGAAAATCGTGCTTTAGGATTTTTTTTAAAAATGAATTATTTTGAACGATTTTGAATTATGGGTGATTGAGTGCGAAAAAAGCAAAAAAGTTCGATTTTTTCACCTATTTGTCGACAAAAACTATACTTAGAGTCAGAAATTAAAAAATCCCTAAAGCAAGATTTTTCATCTTATTCTTAGTCGTCGAAAAATATAAAAATCAGTGATCTTAAGTAATATGTGTAGCCAGGTTTGCTCGGGGATTGGCTAAAATATGGCGTAATTTAAATATTAAATCCCGAAAATTATCGACTTCTTTAACGAAATGTGAAAAAATCATCCATTTAGCGCAAAAAATCACCATTAAATGTATGTAAAGACAATAATTTTATTTCATTTCAACGAAATTTTCCCTTTGGTACTAGTTTGTTTATTTTCAAATGTATTGCGGTTATCCCAAAATTGCGTCTTGTAACCCGATACTTTATCGAACGCCCCCAGCAATGGGAAAGAATGCCATAGTGACAGACCGCCGTGATGGTTTTACACTGAAGCTATATGTAGGGAGATTAGCACTCACACTGAAGGCCGGGCGCCCTAGCGTGGTTAACCCTAAACAGTGCTGGGGTCCGCGCGGACCCCAGCACTATATATTTTGTAATATTTTTTTTTTCTTTCTTAGGATTATTTTCTGAAATTTCAGGTCATTGTCACCCACAAAGTTGTCCCTCGATACAGTGCAGAAAACTCAGTTTCCCCCATTTCTAAAATTTTTTATATCTGATTTTCTTTTGGGGTCCACGCGGACCCCAGCCGGCTTTCGATCGTAATGGATACACTGGCGTTTTTATACTTTACTTTATTTCCGTTTTTAGATGTTTTTTTATGCACTTATCGTATGGCCACCAAGTTTTCAGAGAATGGTGTACTAATAGAATTAAATTCTAATAACTTTTGTGTGATTATGGCGTCATATGACGACAGAGCTAATAATATGGTCCGCCATCTTGGATTTTGACCAATGACGTCATCAAATTAGCATAAATTATGAATATTAAATGATTTAACTTATCTTTAATTCTGTAAGATGCTAATAATGTCAGAAAGAAAGTGTTATTTATATAAAACCCAGAAAATCTTTATGTTAAAACCAAAATTACTGCCATGGCAACACAAAAAAAAAATCAACTTATTTAACTAATACAAAAATTTTTCCAGATACAAACCAAATTTGATGGTTCTAGCTCAAGCCATTCAGGCGCTATTTAAGATTAATGTTGGCGCTGGCCTCAAAAGACCACTCGGTCTGAATAAGGTTTAAAAATCGGGTATTTCTTCCTTTTGTCTTTTCTTCACCAAAAAATAGGAAAAGGTCAAAATGTATGATTTTTTTACGTAATGTGGACTCAGAGGTTCACATATTAATTTCCAAAACAATTGAGCTGGTAGTATGTTGATAATTTCTAAAAAAATTAGCAAAAAACTGTCTTGGGGTCCGCGCGGACCCCAGGTGTACAGATTAATCAGTCCGGGAAGGTGTACTGTTAGGGTTAAACCAAATATGGAAACGTAAGCTTAAATGATTATCGTACCAATCAGCGCACATGACTGCACGGTAAACAGCACGTCCGATAGCCGACAATGCTCGATAGAGAACGTTCTGAATACACCATTTCCCATGTCGAATACATACGGGACCCGCACACATGACATGTACCCGGGACTCGCAGTAAACAGTAATTTTAAACGGCATGAGTAGGGTTACCTGTATTTAAGAAGACAACCGCACAAAAATTGCCACATTACTAGTCCAGGTTACGTCACTCAGTTGGCTACTGTCAAGCCGGGTGAATCACACGACAGGAAGCTTAAATATTCGCACAACCTTGGTAAGGTTAACTGTCCAATCTCGCGTTTTATTGCCTTCGACAGAAGGCTATTAAATCGTTTTTGCACTGTTTTGCAGATTATGTACGGTATAAAAAGTTTGAAGGCATGGTCCGTGGTTCATGATTTTTGGCAGGCATAGTGATGGGCATTGTGAAGGCCAGAAATGGGCTTCGTGGGGGGGGGGCTCTTAAGTGACTGGAGCTGACCTTTTGTGTTTGCGTTTTTTGTTCCCAGGATAACTCGGGAATCCTTAAGTGGTTGTCTATGATTTTCAGTGGGCAAGTCGCCGTTTAGAATACGGAGGTCAAGTTCCGATATGGGCCTCGTGGGGGGTTCCCATGTCATTGAATTTGACCTTTTGTGGTGGTCGTTATTGTTGTTAGCGGGATAATTCGAGAATCTGCAAATAGATGTTCACGATTTTTTGCGAGCAAGTTACCGTTGACGATAGCAAGATCAAGTTCGGAAATGGACGTCGTGGGAAGTCCGTACGTTACTGTAGTAACACTGGTCACTTTAAATTTGGAAAAGACACCAGCAACCCCAAGTATGAAATCCCAGGCAGTTAGCATTATGGAATTATTACATTTTCTCATTAATTATGTAAATTAAGTGTTAATTTACATAATATCTGCCTGTGTTTCTTTCGTTCTCAATTACATGTCACACGCTTGAATAGTCATATAATGTAATGCAGCTGATTTATAGAATTTCTCCATTAATTATGCAAATTACATCCAGGTTTGCATAATCGCCGCATAATTATACCAAGCATCACGTAAGCTACCTACATACCAAAAGCACGACGATCCTTCAACCGGTTCTTGACTTATCCTCTTTTGAATATTTTCAAACAGAGTTTCTGAGTAAGCCGCTAGGGGGCCCAAACTCACGCCACTTATTCCCCAGTAAAAGAGCTACCAACCATCTAAATTTCGTCACCCCAGCGTGTGTAGATCATGAGATATCAAAACCGGAAGTTCTGCTGCAGTACCATTACAAACCGCTAGGGGGTCCAAAATCTAATCATTTCCAGGTCTCATCAAGACCTACCTACCTACCAAATATCAAGATAGTCCATCGAAGCTTTCTCAAGTTATGCTGTTGACAGAAATACAGACAGACAGACAGACAGACAGACACACGGCCAGTAAAACATAACCTTCGTCAATTCTTGGCAAAGGTAATCATGAACAGATATGTATAGCTTAAAACTTAAGTAATAGTGGCTTCCTCTAACAGGAGGCCAACAATGACTCCTTTTACCATCCGGGTAATAGGCTATTACAAACTCATCTGTTTTGCCTCTAAGCCTGAAATAAACAAAGGGGAGTGTTAGCCCCAGCAGGCCATCAGTTAATGGATACCGGCACAGTCCACACAGATCACAGGTATTTAGAGGTCAATAACAGGTCAAACCATGAAAAATGTCACACTTTTTCGCCATATCTTAAAATATACATTCTTATGTCCTTCTTACCAGAAAACTGGGCCTTTCTGAGCAAAATTTGCCCAGGAAAAAAATTATCTACAAAAGAAATACCAAAATAAATGTACACACTGCTAGTTCTGCGCATGCCGATTTGCTGGTCCCTCCCCTTACGGTAGCAGAACATAGTTTTCGCCCAATGGGGATGTCTATAGTTAAGGACCCCAGGATGACTCACTTCGACGCGATAAAAATTATAGTAGGGTGCACTTCACAAATACGTAAATCGAATTTTTTTGAGAAGAAGGCACAAACTACAAAATATCTAGAAACCAAAAAATCCTGTCGGCGTATCTGCTCGTGCAGTACACTTTGAAATCGCCCTCTACGGACGTGACCTGAACTGCAGCCGACTCACCCGGAAAGCCAGTTGCGTAATACGGCACATTTATACACGAACTGCAAAACCTTCACAATTCAAATCATACAGTCTCAAACCCGATACATTCCTACACTACACAGCGCAATCTACGTCTGGCTGGCGCTCTTACCAGGCTTTCTACCCAGCCTTCAAGAATATTCGCTGGACTACTTTCTATAACCGCGTCACAGACCCCGGGGTCGCCCATTAATACTGTGTGCTGCTACCTTACAGCATTGCTAGCTCTGTTCTTTGGGCATAGCAAAAAAGACCCATTTTACACAATTTTATAGTGGTATATGCCAAACTATGTCTTAAGTTCATTTGGCATTTGCCTAAGACACATCTATAACAAATTTCAGGTCGTTTGGTTTTAATACAAGAGCATAAAAGCATTTTGTCTGGAAAGAGCAGAAAAAACTTATTTTACACAAATTTAAACAAATACCAAAAATGTGAGTATAGTTCTTTGGGCATACGCCTAAGGCACTCATATACCAAATTGTAGGTCATTTGGTTGTAATATTAGGTCACAGGAGCCAAAAATGCACATTTTTGTCTGAAAATAGCAGAAAAGACCTGCTTCACACCATTTTCAAGTGATGTATGCCAAAGCTGCAAATGTCATTCTTTGAGCATATGCTTAAGGCACCCCTGTACCAAATGACGAATTCTACATTCCGTATTTCCGTAGAAAGACATGGCACAGGCTAGAGAAATAGTATAGTATGTTGCTTCGTTCACAAAATGACTCTCTGACCACTATACCTACGATAATCATCTTCAAAAAGCCCACACTATACATACACACAACACCCACCAAAACAATATCACACTGTCGAAGGCATGACCCCTCCGAACTCTAGTTGTGCATGGTATTACCATACTGTGTACAACTTCTGAATATCATGTGAACATATAACCCGATGTAGCACTTTCCTAGAAAAGAAAATCTAAAAACTTTTTTATCATCCTCTAGACAGCAATTTTGCTGCATTGTATTCCCCTTTATTCACACACAACTTGAAGTTCAAAATATATAATCATAACTGTACGCGGACTACTCGATAAGAGTAAAAGCGTCTTAGGGACTACGACCCCCACCTACTCTTCTGTCCACCAGCAAGAGTTACTATACTTAGCAGTCTGCAGTACTATGTACCTCTGGAACACCCTTCCGCTACAGCAACAGGTCATTAAGAACAAGACTTGATTTAGTTGATTTTGAATATATTGTATTTTACTAATTGTTTAATTATATGTACTGTGTATTTGTTTTGATTCCCTGAAAAGCAGGCCTGAGTTGTAATTACTGGTAAAACAAATAAACTGAACCTGAAACTAACATGTGACGTTGCCTTATGTCAGTGCTGACGTATCCGGACAACAGAGGAACAGAGTTTGTGGTCGGCTTCCTGCAGAACCACGGAGACAGCGAAACCAAACTCGAGCTGCTCCTTATCAACCCGAGTTCAGAACCCGCCATCGTCACCATCACTGCCCCAGGTGCCAACTACTCGGAGCAGTTTATCGTGACTGACACAGCTGTACAGGTGGTCACCCTGCCACATTCCATCATGCTCAGGGGACACGAGCGGGCTCAGAAAGGCGTCCTCGTCACCGCCGACCGCGAAATCATCCTGTACGGCGCGAACAAGCAGAGTGGCAGCACAGACGGTTTCCTGGGTCTTCCTGTGGACGTTCTCGGCAGAGAGTATTTTGTAGCTTCCTACACTTCTGCATTTCAGTACAATCCGTCCGAATTCGCCATCTTCGGTGTTGAAAGCGACACTTTAATCAGCGTCACTTTGAAGGGGACTGTGTACCATGACAACAAGTACCACTATTCTGGAAGCGTCATCACGTTTTCGCTAGACCGTCTGGAGGCTATGCAGTTTCAGGGTGAGTACCAGTCGGACCTTACAGGTACCCACATTGTATCCGATAAGCCCGTGTCCGTCATGTCTGGCGTGCGGTGTACAAATGTACCGAACCAGTATCGGGCATGTGATCACCTAGTTGAGCACATCCCGCCCGTCAACACCTGGGGACGTCGCTTCGTCACGGTTGCGCTAGCCGGGCGTCGAGCAGGGGATATTTTCCGCCTCGTGGCGGCCAGAAACGGCACCACTGTCAACGTCACCGGTATATCGCCTCGTACGCTGGACGCAGGCGAGTTCTGGGAGCTGGACTTTTCGTCCAGCACCTACAAGTCCATCACGTCATCTCAGCCGATCATGGTACTGCAGTACAGCAAGGGGCTGGAATCGGACGGCATTACAGGGGATCCCTTTATGATGTACCTGCCGTCGGTGGAGCAGTTTGCCGCTGACTACACCTTCCCCACTGTCGACGCAGGATACTCCACAAGCTACGTTAACATCGTCATCAAGACGTCAGAAACGTCCGGGCTGACGTATGACGGCAACCCGCTACCTTCCAACACGACCTGGGCACCCATCCCAGACTCTGATTTGTCCGCTACGCAGCTTCACATCGACACTAAGGGAACACACAAGGTCAAGCACGAATCCGCGAATGTCATCTTCTCCCTTACTTATTACGACTTCTCCTCTTATGACTCCGTGGGTTTTCCCCTGGGTCTCCGACTGGCCAACATCCCAGGCGGATGTGACGTCGCAGAACCAATAGCCGGCGACCGCGTCGACAACGACTGTGACCAACTGGTGGACGAGGAGCAACTGAACGGAATGTAAGACTCGTGTTTCACTTTTCTTATATCACAGCTTTTGCCCGATAATTAGAATCCCAATCTTTTATTCCAATATATATATATATATATATATATATATATATATATATATATATATATATATATATATATATATATATATATATATATATATATATATAATATCTATCAATAATCTTTTCACACTTCGACCTTTTCCTTCTCTTGGGACGAAACGTATCAATCAGAAACTAGACCTCTTGTCTTGGTATCAACATAAAAAATTTGAATCCCCAGAGATGATGACAGTGACGGTCTCATTGATGAAGATTTAGCTGACACTGCAGCAGAGACGACTACTCTATCATTGAACACGACAAAGGAGCCGACCGATCTATTATCCAACACGACAACAGAGCCGACCACTTCATTTAACACGACAGCAGACCTGACGACTGCAGTGTTCAACACGACCACAACAACAGTCACAACAACAGAGCCGACCACAACAACAGTCACAACAACAGAGCCGACCACAACAACAGTCACAACAACAGAGCCGACAACAGTCACAACAACAGAGCCGACCACAACAACAGTCAAACCAACAGAGCCTACCACAACAACATTGCCAATAAATATCACGACAACTCAGCTTTCAACTTCACCAGACGAAAGTGGGACGATGGCTACAACAGCTGGTATGTTTTTTTTTTCAATTTTGCATCAAACTATCAGATTATTTGGCTGAATTGGCGAACGATTAAAAGAGTTTGTATATATATATATATATATATGCATTTGGGGCGATGGAGCAACAATAATTTTTGTTGGCAATGCAGATATGATACAGTTCGCACAAGTTGCCGACTATAAGGTCAATAGGTTAATCTTGGGTTTTCGCAAAGCAGGTGTTGGGAGGATAAAATATGACATTTTCCTAGCTAATGTCACAGAGATGGAAAAACGATTTTTCTCTCCTTGTAAGCTTAGAGATGACATCCATTCTAAGATAGAACGGCTTGTTTGTCCTCTGAACTGCTTTCAACTAAGAAAGATTTGCGACTGAACTACTCTGTCTCAGTCACGCACAACACGTGACTCATACACGTGCAATACCAGCAAAGGTCATTGAAAATGGATATCGCCCTCGTCTCTGCAGAGAGAAGGTTGAGTTGGAGAACAGTTTAATTGTTCTGCAATGTACATCGCTTGTATTCAAAATTTTCTCTTCAGTTACGGACTGCGGATGTCCATTGCTGCCCTCCCATACTGAGGTAAGTCTGACCGCCACGACCACTGGCTCCGTGGCAACTTACCGCTGCAAGACGGGATTTCAGTCCGGGAACGGGACCACAACGCTTACCTGTGGCAGCGATGGGGAATGGAAGGGCACATTGCTAAGTTGTGAAGGTATGCAACGATATATAATTCATGAATAATCCCTTTAACGGTCAGTGTTATAATGAAAAAGTTTGCACAGTTACACTAGTTCTAACAATAACATTATAGGTATTAACGTACCGGTATATCTTTTGATCTTAATTTTCAGCGATGACCCCCTGTATCCGGTTCTGTGGGTTTGGAAGCTGTTTTGTTGATGGCGACATTCAGAAGTGTGACTGCAACACAGGATACGGATTTTTTGGTCTTTCCCAGTTTTGCCGAGGTAAGCTCATAAGCATGTTCTTTTATATACATGTACTACTTTAAGTTTAAAGCAACTTACCAGTTTGTAAAATCGTCTGGTTTCTTTGAATATTAGGTATTTGAAGCCAAGCACCATGCCTTTTACTTGATGTCGGTTTATCAAGTTACGTACGTTACATAATCATATTCTTTTTCAGATATCAATGAATGCGAAGACGGTTTAGACTATTGCTTGGGCCGGCCAGCCTGTGTGACTAACGCGAGGTGCATCAACTCTCCGTACGGCTCGTACACGTGCCGGTGCCCCAGTGGTTATACTGGTGACGGGAGGACATCATGCGAAGGTCTGTTACATCGTCATCATCTTACACTGCATAAAAAAATGATCTAGAGTCGAATTATAGTCAATGCCAGTAAAGTTGCCGGAAAGTGGATGGCAGATAAATATGAAGAGATGAAACAAGTCATGGCTTTGATTTATTGCTTTATATTTTACTTTGATGCGGCAGTGTATTTCATTCCTTTTATATGTGATGTTCCCACTGAATCAAAACCATTTGTACAATGATTGAAACTTTAACCCTCAACAGTACACCTTCCCGGACTGATTAATCTGTACACCTGGGGTCCGGGCGGACCCCAGAACAGTTTTTTGTGATAATTTTGAAATTATCAACATGCTACCAGCTCAATTGTCTTGCAAACTGATGTGGGAACCTTTGTGTCCACATTACATACAAAAATCATACATTTTGAACTTTTTCTACTTTTTTGTGAAGAAAAGAAGACAAGAAGAAATACCCGATTTTTAAACCCATTTCAGACTGAAGGGGCTTTTGAGGCCCAACTTTGATCTCAGATAGCGGCTAAACGGCTTGCGCTAGAAGTATCAAATTTGGAGACCTTTCCTAAAATGTCTCTGGAAAAAAGTTCATATTAGTTTAATACTAGTCAGTTGATGTTTTTTGTGTTGCCATGGCAACGGGTTTCTAGTAGAAGTAATTTTGGTTTAAACATAACAATTTTCCTAGTTTTATATTAAATGTCACTTCTTTTCCAACATTAATAACATCTTACATAATTGAATATAAGTTAAATCATTTAATATGCATAGAATATGCTAATTTTGATGACGTCATTGATCAAAATCCAATATGGCGGACTATATTATTAGCTCTGATGTCATATAACGTCATAATTACACCAAAGTTATTAAAATTTAATTCTATTAGAGTACTACACCATTCTCTGAAAACTTGGTAGACATACGATGAGTGCATAAAAACATATAAAAACGGAAATAAGGTAATATATAAGAACGCCAGTGTATCCATTATGATCGAAAGCCGGTTGGGGTCCGCGCGGACCCCAAAAGAAAATCAGATATAATTTTTTTTATAAATGGTAGAAACGGAGTTTTCTGCACTGTATTGAGAGACAACTTTGTGGGTGACAATTACCTAAAATTTCAGACAAAAAATCTTTAGAAACAAAAAAGATATCACAGAATATATAGTGCTGGGGTCCGCGCGGACCCCAGGTGTACTGTTTAGGGTTAATATTTCAGTGGCAATTGGATGTTATAATAGTTGGCAGTAAATTAAGCACAATCACAACAAGGTTTATGATGTCAAAATTTTAAAATGTGTGAATCTTTTTTTTTTTGGGCCAGCTTTTTTTGTTTTCACCCTATCCCATTAGATTTGAGGTCAGTGGAGGATGCCATCCATACAATTTGCCTACTGTAGCCTAAAGTTTCTTCAGTAATGAGGATGGAATTTTTGTGCTGCTAAAAAATCGTTTGATTTCCAGATGAAGACGAGTGTTTGTCGGCTCCATGTTCAGAGTTTGCCAACTGCACCAACACAGCAGGCAGCTACACTTGTCAGTGTCTGGACGGATATGTGGGGTCTGGCACGGTTTGCACAGGTCTGTATAGAGGCCTTTTATAATAATTATGACCATAATTGAGATCATGCAAGGTAAAGTGCATGAAATGCTGTCATTGGCAGTTCAATGAAGGACTGAATCATACTTTTGGCTGTTGTTGTTCGTGAATGTTTAGAAATGTACTTAGTATTCATGACCTATAAATTGTAAAATGTCAGACTCGGAACCGTTGGTATCAATAATACCAAATTGAAAGGTTTTCTCATGGCTGATGTTCACAAAAATTTTATTGTTCCTTGATCTAGAAATCAACGAGTGCAGCTCCAGCCCCTGTATCGGTGGAACGTGTGTGGATAGGATCAACGGGTACACCTGTACCTGTCGTGAGGGGTTTGCTGGGGAGAGGTGTGAAACAAGTGAGTGTTTTTGGTATCAAATATCATGAACGTTTCCTGCAGGCAAGCAAATGCACGGCGACTTTTACTAGGTCTTCTAAAACAAATCTACCAATAAAAATTCAAGTTCAAATTTAGCATGAAATGTCTTAACTTTAAAAGCAATATCGTAATGTTGTTTCTTAGAACAAAAGATAATTCACGATATTTTGTAAAGAAACAGTGTATCTAAATACCTTTGACACATAACGACCATGATTATGAACGAATAACAACTTTGAACGAATTCCATGATTATACGTATCACTGGAGTACAGCAGTATCTGTTGGATTTAGCAGTATTCAGATTTCTCTTTATTTTTTTTCTAGACGTCAACGATTGTGAACCTCCACCCTGTCTCAACAATGGGACCTGTAGTGACAGGATCAACTCCTACAGCTGTGACTGTGTGGATGGGTGGGAGGGAATCAACTGTGAAGAGGGTAAGGCGTTTCTCCTGTCGTAAAGTGTGTTTAAAAAAAACGTGGGACCCCATTCTTCGCAGCAGCTTTGTAGCAGCTGCTGCGAAGCTTTGTCGCAGCGTCACTTGAAGTAGAACCAGACAGTATTGCTCTGAAGGAGATGGCAGCTGGTCACCGAAATGTTGACAAAACAGACTTCGTTATGCGGCTAAGTTATTTCGTTTTAACATCAGATTATGTGAATCAAGGTTGTCTTCAATTTTCCATTGTTTCCAGTGGTAAATTCTAATCCTTTATATTACGATGTGTGACATAGGAAGGGTACCTCAACATTTGGCAATTGTTAAATTAAGAGCATAAGGTGGAGCAATTAATACAATCGTTACCCTTATGGTTACCAGTTTGGTTAAATTTACTATAAAGTTTAATATCTACCTACCTAGTTGTTTAAGACAGTTAATACCTTAATTGTCAATTGCTGAACCCTAAAGCTAGCTATTCCCATGTGATGATTACATTCACAAAGTGTCACCAATGCTGTCCTGTCAAGGTTACTAAATACAATTTGCCCCCTTTTTTACAGACATAAATGAGTGCACGTCTGATCCTTGTCACCGGCATGCTGACTGTGGAAACACAAACGGCTCCTTCATCTGCACCTGTAAACAAGGTTTCCATGGAGACGGATTTGAATGCACCGGTAAAATAGATACTGCATTATTGACACAAACTGTTGAATACTTTTGTATGATACAATCATAATGTGTTACAGCTTTGTTGTGTTCCATATTTTGCTATATATTGATGCTGTAGTTATTTCGCTAAGCATTCACATTCACACAGCTGTTTGTTGTATAAGTAATTGGTGTCCCTTCTTGACTTTGTGTTCTTTGCCCCAACAGAAACTGATGAGTGTGCTTCCGATCCCTGCCAAAATGGAGGAACCTGCATAGATGGGCTTAATGAGTATTCGTGTGTCTGTCCAAGTGAATGGCAGGGCGTTAACTGTGAAAGAGGTGAGCCATTTACCTTGTACCATTTTAACACAAAAACCAAGGACAATGGTATGCTTCCGTTGCTTATGATGTCTGTGTTTGTTTGTTTGTGTGTGTGTGTGTGTCTCTGTGTATACATTTACGGCTCAAAGAGCCTCTCATATGCAACTTAGTCTAAAAACTACTAACGTCTTTGAAAAAAATTGTCTAATCGTTAACAGCAATTTTATATTTCATAGCTACATGTATATAGTAAACATTCTTGTTGTAGTGGTCTACATGTACATTGTTTTTAAATCACACAGTCGTGAGAATGGTTGCTGTAATAAACATTTTCTAAGATATACATAGATATCTGCACAGTAGATGACATTCTCCTTTGCTGTTTGCCTGCAGATGTTGACGAGTGTCTCATAGAAAAATGCCATCAGAACTCAGCCTGTAACAACTCACCGGGAAGCTACAGCTGCACATGCAGGGACGGTTTCTATGGAAATGGTCTCAGACAGGATAAACTCGTGTGTAGAGGTAAGTTATGATAATCTAATTAATATAGAGACTTAACAATTATACAAGATATGTAAGAGAATGTCAACGCAGGACGTCTTCAAATTTTTATACCGTGCAGGAATAAATGTATAGTGGACAAAATATAAAGTTATTTTGACATCTGTTTAAAAAAGAGAAGAAACGGGGTTTAATAGTAGATGATAAATAGGTTGTAGTATTGCTGTAAAGCATAAACGCACTTAGTGCTAGAATGTAACGTTTCAGTGCCAACGCTATGTTTTATATCCTCTAGAGCACATACGGTCACATGCGCGTTTAGCCTATCTGGGCATGATTATGCAATAAACATTATTCAATCATAATTAGCTGCGAATTGTTGCTTAGCAATGTTAATCTTGATCTAAGGGCAAGGGGTTCGAATCTCAGTCTACCTGTTAAAACTGAAAATTTTGCTAATAAAAATAGAAAGCCAAAGCAGTATTCACAACAAACTGATAGCCATGATGTAAAAAAAATGATGTTGAATGACAAACTGTCCTTAAAAGGTTTAATAGACTTAAACCTTAAAGACTAAAGCCTTTTAATAAAGTAAGTTATCATATCAGTGATATAAATATTAGAATTTGTGTTTTGTTTCAGAAACCATCCTTTTCCCTTACGGTGAAGAACAAGGGGACGTGTTTCTGCCTGACACAGACGACCGCAAAGACATTTCTCTACCGTCTCTGATTGACATCAGCATAGGGTTCCCTTTCTTTGGACAGTTCTACTACAGCCTTTATGTAAGATCACTTTTCTTGTCCAAGCCTCACACCATTAAGATCTTTAGAACCTTGAATATAAATTCCTATACCACATTATTTCGTACATTATTAAGTCATTATAATTATCGCGGGTTTTGCGTGTCTCTTCCATAATTCAAAAGTGTTAATGCTTTTCAAGATATTGTTGAAATAAAGTGTCATAGTCACCATGTTCCTTAATGAGGAATAGATATATGTTTTTAGATTTACTAGGACTTCAAAATATTATGTGAACTTAATAATTTTTAAACCTTGCCTTATCTTTACATTTTCTCTCACGACCTTATAAAAAAACTGGCCTGCAGGAAGATTTGAGCTTCACATAAATAAATAATGGTTCAAAGCAAGTTAAAACACAAACACATGTACATGATAGGTAGATAGAGTTGAAACGTAGATATTGAAGTAAGGGTGTCTTGACATAAAGTTGTGGCAATTTTTCTCGATCCCTTTCTTTACAGTTCTCCGATAACGGGTTGATAATATTCCCGCCGACGGCGCAGTCCCGTGCGCGGAGGGAACCCTACCCGAACCCCAGTCTGTTCAGGAGGAACCAGACCGTACAGGCAGGATTCCCTCCTATGGTAGCAGCGTCATGGGGAGATGTGGATCTCACAACGGACGTGGGGAAAGTCTGGTATCAGGTAAATGACAAACTGAAAAGGAAACAGCATTAGAAGCAAACATTGTTAGTATTATAGTATTATAATATTCTTGTAACAATAACCTTTTTGCTCTATGTTAGCTTTAACCTAAACATTCAAGCAAACACGATTCGGATACTGGATTCTGCTCACGGAGGAGTGGATTTATTCACAGTGTAACACAATCATAACCAACCACAGCATTGTAACGACAAGATATCCAACCTTTCTTCTACAGTTCCTGACAACTAACAAGAGCCTCAGTTACATTAACACTCGGACATTGCGTTGTGTACTTTTTTATAGACAAATGACTAAGGACTTACTTGTTCAGTTGGAACGGACACAGGACACTCAGAAGTCACTCCGCCTAGACTCTCTCGTAATCACTCACGACACACGACTGTGTCCTGCCTTTTAAGCTATCCTAATTATGCGTATAACCGACTCTGACCTTGATTGGTAGACAATACGGCAGCCCACATATAGGTGTTAACTGGGCTTGTCTAGCCACTTCTTTGTGGTGCATATTAATACTGGCAGACGGGCAAGATGTTTACAGAAGTACAATAATGTGAAGTACAAGTGATATACATAATGCATTTTGGCACATGATACATTTTGACACATTATTAGGCTGGCCACCAAGCGTTACATTCTGAAGATCTTAGACCTTTAACCCTCAAACACCCGAACGTAAAGTCACTATATTTTTATGTGCTATTTCAATTTTTTTTATTCTAAAAAAAATTCCTCCCGTGACTTTGACAGTAAACCTCTTCCACAAGTTCTCCTAATTTTTTTTTGAAGATCGGCATAAATTTGTAAAAATAACAACGGAAGTCATATGTAAGACTGTCTGGGGTCCAAACGGGACCCCAGCCGTGTATTTGCACTTTCCTACACACAAAATTGTTCGGATGTCCTCAATATGTCTTCAAGGAAGCATTATTGCTTTAATATTATGCAGTTTGCCAAGTAACCTCAACCTCAGGAATTATTTCAACAGGTTTTCAGAGGTTTGACAATTTGACAATCATATGAGGTCAAAGGTCAACCCCATTTTCATGCCTGCAGGCCTCATCCTATTTTGCATGAATTATGAAAATGAGCAGGAATTTTTTAACACTTAATCATGCCAAAATAAACGTCTTAATATGTTTAACCAATATATGTGCAAAGGTCACTGAAAGGATGCAAAAAGGAATGTAAATTTGAAAGAAACCAAATGGGGTCCATTTGGACCCCGTTCGGGCATTAACGTCACAAAAAAAGTTCGGGTGTTTGAGGGTTAAATTGCTAACAAAGTTTACTGTAATTTGTATTTATCATCATATCAAAGAACTACTAGTATATAGACATGTTATCTATCTTAGACAACCAGAATAATGCCTCATAACTATAAACTGTTGCAAGTTAAAAGACTTTTCTAATAGAGAAAAAAATGTCGAGAAACTGGAAATTACTGTATGCGTACCTATAATGACTGATCCTCTCTTTCTTTTTCTGCCAGGTGTATTCTGATGACAACTCAGTAGATAATGCCACACAGACAGTGTTTGACATGGTTACTACGAGGATGTACCAGTCCTTCAGCGACACGTTTGTGCCCACCTGGGTACTGGTGGTGACCTGGGACAGTGTACCCTCTGTCGAGGCAATGTACACAAAACAAAACGTAAGTCTAGCACTAGCAGTCTAGTATTTTGCCCTAATTCTTGAAAACAACATATGTTTAAAAACACTAAAATTGACAAAGATGTTTCAAATGAATATGTTTACGTCGATGAAGGTTAGACATCCAGGTAATACGATACACCAAAAAGCAGTTACTCAAGCAACTGGATATGATTTTGGAAACGTCAGACCTCAGTCACTGACGAAAGCTAAGGGATGCTAGCTGAAACGTCTGACGTTTCCAAAATCATATCCAGTTGCTTGAGTAACTGCTTTTTGGCGTATTTTTTTTACTTTCAAGCTCAACTAAAGCCTGTCTTTCAGTAAAGAAATTGATTTGTTCTTTAAGACGTTAGCTTTGAAACGTCTAAAGAGATACTTGTTATATGAGTTGTCAGTATAAGTCTTGCACACGTTTATCAATGATTTAAACTTAGTGTTATAACTGCATGCGCAGAATTAGATCAATGTCATGTTTCTTCTTTTAGCCAAACACATTTCAAGCCGTCCTGGCCACCGATGGATCAGATTCCGTCGCTTTCCTGACCTATAAGGAAGACGAGATGCTGTGGACCAATGAAACCCAGGACGTCCTTCTCGGGTACAACAGCGCTAACGGCGTCAACTTGGAAAACATCCGGCTGGCAGATCCGTACAGACCCGACCAAGTCAACGGGAACACGGGGCTGAAAGGACGATGGGCGTTTAAGTTGGAAAGCGATGCCACACGGAAAACGAACTACAAGAAGCTGTGTCGTGACTGGTACAAGACAGAGCCAGACCCTTCAGAGTGGATTGTAGGAGAAGGCCTGTGTCCCTGCACGCTACTTCAAGCACTAAAGGACCTACGCTACGCACCTGTTACACTGTCACCCTTTAACATCTACCTAATGCTTCTGGGCAATCAAGGTGAATACAATTTCATTTTTACATTCAGTACTACTTAAAAGAAGAAAAAATAATGTTAAAACATGGCATACCGGACTCTCAGACTTTAGGCACTGGTTTCGTAACGAGTGTTATATGCTATTGTCAAATTAACCCTAAACAGTACACCTGGGGTCCGCGCGGACCCCAGCACTGTATATTCTGTAATATCTTTTTTGTTTCTAAAGATTTTTTTCTGAAATTTTAGGTAATTGTCACCCACAAAGTTGTCTCTCAATACAATGCAGAAAACTCCGTTTCTACCATTCATAAAAAAATTATACCTGATTTTCTTTTGGGGTCCGCGCGGACCCCAGCCGGCTTTCGATCATAATGGATGCACTGGCGTTCTTATACATTACCTTATTTCCGTTTTTATATGTTTCTATGCACTCATCGTATGTCTAACAAGTTTTCAGAGAATGGTGCAGTAATAGAATTAAATTTTAATAAATTTGGTGTAATTATGACGTCATATGACGTCAGAGCTAATTATATAGTCCGCCATATTGGATTTTGACCAATGACGTCATCAAATTAGCATATTCTATGCATATTAAATTATTTAACTTATATTTAATTATGTAAGATGTTATTAATGTTGGAAAAGAAGTGTAATTTAATATAAAACTCAGAAAATTTTTATGTTTAAACCAAAATTACTTCTAATTTCAAAACAATTGCCTGCTAGAAACCCGTTGCCATGGCAACACAAAAAAACAACAACTTACTAGTATTAAACTAATATGAACTTTTTTCCAGAGACATTTTAGGAAAGGTCTCCAAATTTGATACTTCTAGCGCAAGCCGTTTAGCCGCTATCTGAGATCAAAGTTGGGCCTCAAAAGCCCCTTCAGTCTGAAATGGGTTTAAAAATCGGGTATTTCTTCTTGTCTTCTTTTCTTCACCAAAAAATAGAAAAAGTTCAAAATGTATGATTTTTGTATGTTATGTGGACACAGAGGTTCCCACATCAGTTTGCAAAACAATTGAGCTGGTAGCATGTTGATAATTTCTAAAAATTAGCAAAAATTGTTCTGGGGTCCGCGCGGACCCCAGGTGTACAGATTAATCTGTCCGGGAAGGTGTTCTGTTGAGGGTTAAACGTATTCGTGTTACACAGTTGAAAATATATTGTATAAAATAGAAAATTTGCACGGTATACATGTATATGCTGTGTGAGGACTTATATGGATATCCCTGCCTGTCCGGCAAAATAAGAAGTTCACACAATGTCAATGATAGCTTGGCATTTCGTTAGACCAATGAGAGTTTGGCTGAATGTCCATTGAATATTCAAATTTCTATGTTAAAAAATGTCAATTACTTCGTTTTCGTGGAGGTAGGTGGCCTATGGTATCTACATGCATTGTATAGCCTTCATGTATTGTTTAATATATGAAGGTTATTACTGCATCTTCATGATAACTTGTTTTCATTCTTAGATCAGGAAGTTTGCTTCAGTCCTCTGTTTGCCAGCCCGACTGGTTCCAGTGTAGACTGTTGTTACAAGTTTCTGGCCCTGAACACTGAGATACCCCTGGCTGGAAGTCACCACAGATATCAACGGTTCTCCCAACTTCACACTGGTAATTATAAACATTTTGTTGGACTAAACTCCAATGACGGCAGAATACACTGAGGAGATTTCCTGTTTGTTTGTTTGTTTGTTGCATCAATCAGATTCTATCAAATTTGATGTATAAATGACAACACTGGTGCACAAAGGAACGACACCACGAGTTCTAAGTAAGGAAAGGTAAAAGCTGACATCTATTACATCGGGACTGTGATTGGCTAGTGCGCAAGTATAAACCACGTGGGCATTTCGAGTCACAATATTTCCATTAGCAATGTTTCCACCAACGCCGGACAGCGTTTAGATCACTTTGGCCTATATACCCAGCCTAAACTCCCTCAAATCTGTTTCTTGTTTTTACCTGAATTCGATAGAATTGAGCAATATACGTTGACTTGAAAATAATCGTTTTCTTTCAGACTTTGACGTGAATCCCAAGTCCTGGTGCTGTAGCCTGTCTGAAGATGAAGACTTCTGTAACCTGTACTATGAAAAGAGGCATCCAAACAGCTGTTCTTTCTACAGGCCACCACGTCTAGGTACGCCTTACAGGAGCAATCATATCTTTAAAAATCAGTTTTATGATGGTGTAGGGTAGCTAATGATTAAACAACCAGCATAATTGATATTTCTTTATCATAAATCTGTCCTGTTTTCCAGAACGTTTCCTATATTAATGTTGTCAACTTTGATACACAATTAGACATAATTTTATCTCTGCTCTTGCTTATGTGGTATTGTTATAATTATTATTGCCTCCGGGGGAGAGATATAGAGTTTCACGTTCGCAGCAGTTTCTCGCGTTTGGGTGGACGGATTCTTTTGCGACTCGGTATATGTTTTGCTATTGGGCTGTAGATGATGCACGTTCTTTTGTTTTTATTGTGTTTTCGGGCGGGAAATGGTGCCTTTTGGTGGCCCCAGAACACCCCTTTGAGCGTGAAAGTGGTCGCGACCGTCGATCTTTGGTGTGTTTGAAGTATTCTCGGTCGGGTCCACTCAATACATTCTTTGTTTAAAAATATGCACCAAAACGCTGTTTTCCAGGGCTGCATAGCCAGATTCAGTGAAAACTGAATGCACAACCTTTGGTGATAATATATTTCTTTGTGGATTTATGGTGTTTTTTTTTACTTGGATCGAATCCGGAAGTGTCAATACGGGGGCACGATGTCTGGTAAAAGTCACAAGTATGCAAATAAGTATTATGCACACTTTTGCATATGTGCCTATATTACTACAATTTCTTGTAAACCCTTTTATATTTGACGTACTATAAGCAGCAAGCTTCTGCATGTGACATTTCGGACCCCAGTCACTATGTTTTCGATCAAAATATTTGTGGTTCTAATGTCTGATTTAACGGTTTCGGTTGTCATTCTGTTTCATTACGAGTTCCTTGCGGCAGATTAAATATAATTTCATAAGTTCATGGGTACATGTTATAAGCTGCAGATGAAAATGTTGACCTGTGTTAACACAACTTGGAACGCTAAATCTAGCACATGAAATTTAACACCATCAACTTTTCATAACAAACAGCATATAAGAATATACAATAAAAAGCCCGGAGGTATAAAATCTCAGATTTTACTTATTATTATCTTTGTTTCACAAGGAAGGACTGCAGACAGGATTTTACATGATATTGTAGCTCGTTTACCAGGTAATGTTAATGCATGATTGTTGCTTTTTTTAGCCATAACGTGGGGAGATCCTCACATGAAGACACTAGACGGTCTCGCCTACACGTTTAACGGGTTAGGAGAGTTCACCCTTGTCAAGACGAGTGGGGCCAGTGTTGAGTTCAGGCTGCAGGGGCGCACGGAGAAAGCCATCGCCAACGGTACCCAGGGAGTGGCTGAGGCTACAGTCTTCACGGCATTCGCATCAAAGCAAGATGGCTCCTCGACGGTAACTCCTATACTTGTTCATACTGGTTTACGAAGGACCCGGTCTATTAAGTAGTATGATCGGTATAAAACTGAAAGCATTCTTGTTATGGTCATGCTGCCTTGTTGCGAAAAGTCTGTCTTAGATTGTTTTTGGTGTTTCTTTTGGTGAAAACATTGAGCATGTGCGCAACAATTCTTTGTAAATGTTGAAACGCTAACGACACGGAAATAAAGTCTCATTCATTCATTCATTCATTCATTCATTCATTCATCCAACCATTCATTCATTCATACACAGTTTTAATCTTAGTTTCATCGTTCATGAATATTTACTGACTATTCTTTTTTTACTTAGGTTGAAATGGGCATGAACAAAGACCGGACAAATATGACACTAATGGTGGATAAACGGCCCATCATCATCACTGACCTACAGCAGAACGGTAAGGTGTGAGGATGGATGTATTAGAATTAGATTGGAAAGAAAAGTAGTCCATTTGTCATTAAGCCAATGACATGTTTGGTTGTTCTTACTATTGCTATGTTTTTAATTCACATTTTAATTGAAAATGGTACAATTTGAAAAGTTCTTGTAAAATTGCTCCCCTAAAGATCATAAAAAGGAAAACAATTACCTTGGAAAGGAACAAAGTTCCAAACACATTAGAAATGCAAGATGGATAATGGACACCATCCACAAAACCTAATCAGATGTTTAATGACAATCTGTAACAATTTCTGTGTTTCATGCAGGTGTGCAGCGTTTTGCCAATCTGACTCTTCAGTACAATTTTAACTCGAACCAGACCAGTGTGGTCGCCTCCTTCTCTTCGGGAATAACAGTGACCGTCACGCTCCAGAAACTCATGCTGAATGTACAGTTCGGAGCGCCGGATTCTTTCGAGAACACTACCCGAGGCATGCTGGGTAAGTTGGTTACTTTCTGATAAACAAAATTAACAAAAAATTATATAGCAAGGACCTATTTAGAAGGATATGAAATAGAATTCATAACAAACAGACAAAATATTTCTGCATGTTTTTTTTTTATAAAAAAATGTAAATTGATAACTTCGGTCCAGCAAATGGCAAAAGGACAGGTCATTTTATTTTGCCCTACAAGTTACAAGTAGAAAACAAGATAACTAACCAATGTAGAGCTCAATAAATCGTATTGTACAGTTAGTTATGTCTATTATATTAAATCCACAGGTGTTTGGAACGACAACATTTTGGACGACTTCACCTATCCTAACGGCACGGTACTGCAGGCACCAGAGGACAGAAATCTAACAGAGGAAGAAATCTTCCCATGGGGATTATCATGTAAGAAGCACGACATTTATTATGTTTACATTTTTTCTCTAGACAATTGTTTACTTATTCTAACAGAATTGTGTAGATATTAGATGTGTTGACAAATGTTATTTTTGTGTAATAATTTGCCATACAGTCCCATCATTATTTATTCATATCTTAAAACAAGAAGAACATTAATGCATTATTTTTTTTGTAGGGCAAATCAGACAAGACGAAAGTCTATTCACCTACGAGGATGGACAAAACGCAACTTCCTTTGCCAAGCCAGATTTCAGGCCAACGTTTCTCAACCAACTACTAGCAGCTGTCTCCGCCGGAAGACGAAGCGAGGCTGATGTTCTGTGTGGCACAAATGTAGAATGTCTCTTTGACTTTCTCAGCACAAACGACGCAGAAGTGGGAGAACAAACCAGATCAAGTATTGTGACTTTCGATTCAGACGCAGAGACACTGGGTTAGTCTACGGCGCACTTTTCAAAGATACTGTTATTCTTTCACAATTTTACAGTGGATGTCTTCAAGTTTGATACAAGCAAATGCATTTATCACTGTTAAGTTGCACTGTAAAAGAAAACTAACATAATTGGTACGGATATAGAAATATGAATGACAGAAATCCTTGTAGACACCGTACTCACTAGTAACATAATCATGTTTTTTTTCTTCCAGCCAACTTTCCACCCAACATCACAACCAACGCCACAGTCAATGGAATAGTTGGACAGCAGGTGGAACTACAGGTCATTGCTGTTGACCCTGAGGACAATCCTTTGAGATATTCCATTGGCAACGTCAACAACATTCCTGGGGCAACTATCAACCCTGGTATGTATGTTGTCCGATGTGTGGTAACGTTTTTTTTTTCATTGACTTGCTCTCTGACATTTTCGTGGAGATCCGTCAAACTATCTGAACGATTTTATGTCATGATGAAGCATTCCTTTGTATTTTCTTTTCCTCAAAACCACATCTGTGTTACCGCATTACAAAGTAGTACTTCCGTGTACAGAAGAACTGTTGTTATGCCAGGAATACATATAAGTTGACAGCATATGGGCGTGTAAGATTGACAGGCAGGATAAAAGCAGACCAAAAGCTAAGACACAGGAAATTACTGTGTACAGAAGGTGGCAGAAAGGTAGCAAGCTTATTATTTCATGAGGGAGACAATAATACAACAAAGTCTGAAAAACCCAATCCTTTTTTTTTTAGTTAACGGTATCCTTAGGTGGACTCCCAGAAGCCTACTACCAGTGCAACTAGAGATTATTGCCCAAGACAACAAAGGGGCCTCTTCGTCGACCTACCCCATGGTGAAACTCTGCAATTGTCAACACGGTGGAATCTGTAACTTTGTCACTGTGGACTTCACTGGAGAGATCAACCCTGTGGGACAGTTCCAGGTCTGTCTTGAAAAAAGTTTAGCACGTCAAGACATTTTTTATATTATTCAAATTATCCTTTGCCCTTCTACTACATGTATTTCAGAGCAGAATGAGTAACCGTTATACTTGTATCGAAAGTTTAATATTTAAAAGTATTGTTATTTAATGTCATTCTATCATTTATCTCTGAAGTAGCCGTTTGCTGCGAATTCTCTATGGCCCATAGTGAATTTGTAGCCAAACGGCTTCTTCAGAGAAAAATGATACAACGACATCAAATAAAAATACTTTTAAATATTAACCTTTCAATACATGTAAAACGTTGACTCATTTGATGCATATGTCCAAATCTGTACATCGGGTTAGTACATGTATACAATATGCTCCGTGTTATCAACGTTTTACCAACATGATGCATTGAGCCCGCTCTCTTTGATTCAGGTGAATACATCTTATGCATTCATTTGAATAAATGGTATTTGAACGGTGGTTAAATTTATGTTTTAGATTGTATGAAAATTTAAATTTATGTTGATGTTTATCGATTGGTTAAGAGATTGATTGTTCAGTTGTTAATAGTGCTTGATTATACCCGTATAGTGCAAGTGGAGAACATGCATCGATTGCACTGTGCATTACGTTTTTATTAAGTATACTGCACATTAAAAATAGATACTGTGCAACCTTTAAAGTAACAAAATTTCAACGAATAAAGACTAAAATGCAGCACAATAAATGTAACTCAACAAACAGTCGCTCCATGATAATGTATGATATGTATCTCGTCTTGTTGTTGTTAAACAGGTTGTTTCCTGTTCGTGTCCTGAAGCCTGGACAGGAGAGTTCTGTGAGACTGATAAGAATGAATGTGAGGAGGACCCGTGTTATCCAGGAGCGGCGTGTACAGATATGGTAGCACCTAAACATGGCTTCGAATGCGGACCATGCCCCAATGGTCTGGATGGGACTGGGGAGAAGTGTTATGGTCAGTAGGACGAAATTGTCCGTTTTTCCTAATTATAATAAACACATCTTGTATTATATTAGTTCTAATAAGTGTTGAATGTGCCTAATCGTTTTTTTTTGTCAAGCAGCTTAGGCCAAGGACATTACAAAGAGGTAGGAAGTCAGAGAAATGTGAATGTGCACATCACCAATATTGTAATGTCAATGATTTTACGGACTATCACCAGACCAAATAAAACAAAAATGTAGTCCCCGTCCTCAAAGTTCAACCACACTAGCTATTTGCGTTCCTAAAAAAAATATCCGTTGACTCTTTGATGCAATGGTATTTGCAAGTGTCTTTCTAATATTATGTGTTTTGTTTAATTTTGCAGATATCAATGAGTGTGTGCAAGGTCAGAAATGTGAACAGCACCATAACTGTGTGAATATCCTGGGTAGCTACACCTGTGGCTGCGACCTTGGTTACACCCTGGACAGCAATGGCCTCAACTGTACTGGTAAGCTACAGAGTTATATCTTATTACCTTCGCCAAGAAGGTTATGTTTTCAGTAGCGTTTGTATGTGTGTGTGTGTGTATGTGTGTGGTTTAGCAAGATAACTCGAGAAGCAGTGGATGGATTGGAATGAAACTTGGTAGGTGGGTAGGTCTTTATGAAACCTAGAAATGATTAGATTTTGGGCCCCCTGGCGGCTTTCCTATGTACTGCAGCTGAACTTCCGGTTTTGATATCTCATTTTCTGGACATGCTAGGGTCACGAATTTTGGTTGGTAGATAGCTCTTGGGATAGGGAAGAAGTGATATGAGTTTGGGTCCCCTATCGCCTTGTTCTGGAACTGCAGTAGCATTTGTTGAAAAAAAATTTGAAGGACGATAACTCAAGAACCGGTTGACGTATTGTCATGATTTTTGGTATGTAGGTAGTCGAAGTGATGCTTGACATAATCAGATGGCAATTTTGCAAATCAAGAGCTAATTTGCATAATTAATGAAGAAATTCTATGAATCTGCTTTGTTCGATAATAGAACTATGAAACACTTATAAAATCTACTTGAGAACGAGAAAAACATCTGAGGATATAGATTATGTAAATGAGGACCTACTTTGCATAATTAATGGCAAATTCTTATAATTCCATAGTTGTAACTGCTGCACCCTGAATTTCATACTTGCCACATTTGGAAGTTAAGTGAAGGTGAACATCAATAAACATAATTTATTCAAATCTAGCCTCATTTGCATAATTTATGAGGAAGTGAAATAATAGCCTTTTTGTTATGATAAGGCTGTCATTGGATGGAGAATATGATCAACTGATATAATCCATGCAAATGAGGCTCTTATTTACAAAATCAATGATTAAAATTGTATAATTCGTCACCCGCAATGGTTAACATCATTTGTCGAAGGTATGAGATCGTGGAACTCTTGTTCATTTATTTATTTCAACTTTGCCACAAGGACAGGGCAGAGGGAACAGGCGGTGCCTTTTCGAGGCCCTCTGTCCAGATAAAAGCATACATAAATCTAAAATACAACTAATAACAAATACAAATAATCACTGACAAAATTCTTAAAGGTAAGTAGTAAAACAAAAACAAATGTAATAACTACGATAACATAGGTTTAAATGGTACAATATAGGTAGAGACAGTAATAATAATAGTAATGATAGCAGTAGTAAAATATAAATGAGATCTAAATACAGAGGGTGTGCCAACTGTAGATGTTTTGCGGATCAAAAGAGTTGCGAGATATTATATGGCAATCTAGAAATTGCATTCTTTGATAGCCAGTAGAACAATGAGGTCAAAAATACTATTTACCAGATATTTGTGTCCAGCTGAATTTTGTTTTCACTGTAAATACATCTCATTCGTTTTTCTGGTATTTCTCATGGCAGGAATGCCATATAAAACTGTACACTTTTTCTCTAGATATAAACGAGTGCGACATTAGCACAGCTGATTGTGCAGTTGATGCAACATGCACCAACACAGATGGCAGCTTTACCTGTACCTGTACTACCGGATATACTGGCAATGGGACCTACTGCGCAGGTGATTACTTTACCTTATACCTTTTCTATAAAATATTTCATCAAACAATTAATAATTTGACTGTGTTTACAAGATACTGTTGTAAGACTGTATACGAATAAGACCCAGTGATTGCAGAAGAAGATGACAGACTGTCACCGAAACGTTGGATGCAAAAAACGTTTACTCGGTTGTTGAATACTGAACGTTACACACAATTTCTCCCAAAGTAAGAAATCTATTTCGTGTTGACCTATAATGAGATCAGCATAACTTCGAATGTTGGAAACACAAACAAATACACAAACACAAACGAATACTCATTGTTGTTCATTGTATAAATTATATCCTACCTATCCTTTTTCAGATGTTGATGAATGTACGACTAGTGCCTCCTGTGATCGCAATGCAGTATGTAACAACACTGTTGGATCCTACACATGCACATGTAAGGCTGGCTATGAAGGCAGTGGACGCAGATGTGAGGGTAAGTTGTATTTACTCGTTGTTACTGTCCTTCTAAAGCTTAATGTCTTACGATACAATTTTAAGAAGAAAGCAGGCCAGTTGTAGTAACGTGATCCAAAATTATTTCCTTTTTAAAAAACGTAATAAGAATGCCTAATATCAACGTTGGGATATTTTGATAGTAAAGGTAACTTGCGTTAAATATTTTGAAGCTAAAGTTTTATTTTGGAAGGTATTTTATCATCCCTGTGTACACTATCATACATTGCCCCTTTCCTCACCTTCCCTTATTATTTCAAGAAAAGGTAAGAGAAATGCAGATGATAGATTAAGTGGTAACACCTATGTGGCTTTATTTATATAACTATTTTGTAAACGATAGTGTTAATCACATGTGTGCAATGTAGTTAATGGTAGCATAGCCATATAAGTGTTTTTAAAGATCTAGCATGCACATGGCAGTGATAAAACAGACTTGTATTGTTAAGTTTCGTCTCTACTTTTGTATAACATTAAAGATAATGGTACTCCGGTGCAGTTGTATAACCACTACGCTTCTGGCCTCCATGTGGGAAAGAATATGCAATAAAGGATCATTCCTGTACTATTGCTAACCATTTGTCTCAAATTCGTTTATCTTATCCCTTAAAGACAAAGACGAGTGTGTTGATCCGGACATTTGCCACACAAATGCAAGATGTACCAACTCCATCGGCTCCTACAGCTGCAGCTGCAACTCTGGTTACCGCCGCAAGGGGGCAGTGTGCACCAACGTGGATGAGTGTGAAGAGCTGCTGGACAACTGTAGCCCGGGGCAGGGGATCTGTACAGATAACCCTGGGTCCTATAGCTGTGCGTGTAGGGGTGGATATGAAGGAGACGGGATCACATGTCAAGGTTTGTTACTGTTTCGATGTTTTCTTTGATGTACACCTGGTGCAATTTTTCTAATGATTTCATTCTCATCCCGACTGAATTAGTCTTTTGTAAGGTAGATTAGCCTCTTGGTATGTTTATGGTTATATAGCAGTAGGTACCAGACGCTGTAACGTCTACACATGTTGCGCAGTAACGTTATTTCCTAATGTACCTGGTACATCGCATTGTCTAGAAAACGCTGTGATACATACATGTAATATGGCCATTGCGATAGACCTTCTATTTTATACCATTTCTGATTTGTTTGTGAAAAGTTCACCATTAGTTGCAACAGGACATTTACTTAGTACTTTACCTTAACTTAGACCTTATTTTAGACCAAGTGCCTGATGGCATATCGCGGAGCAAACTTTAACTTTCTTTGATCAGCTCATTGACAACAAAATCCCAAAATCATCGAATAACGGGCATTATCAGTTGTTTGCGAGAGCATTTTTTGCAATTAACATTATCCATTATCTAATATGCAACTTTATTGCTTCGACGAAATAAGAGTGCTGTTATCATATAGTTGGCATATCATGTGTTGTCATATCACTTGGTCAGTTAAACAATAATCGAGTGATTATGACAAGATATTCTCGTAAGTGAAACTGATACCAATATTTAGATATCTGATTTACATGATGATGACTCTTCAGATGTTGACGAGTGTTCAGATGCTGCTCTCAACAACTGCACTGAGAACGCGGATTGCGCCAATACGGAGGGCTCTTATAACTGCCTGTGTACAGATGGGTATGAAGGGATAGGTACAGTCATTTGCACCGGTAAGTTATAAAGATTTTACTCTGAAGTCAAATTCTAAAAGGAAGAAAATTTGTGATATTTGTATTGTGCCCATGTGGTGGCATCAATCGCCAAGAGCCTAGGCTACCGGGCAGGAGATTGAAAGTCACGGGTTCAATTACTGGCAAGACGTTGTTTCCTTGAAAAAGGCATTTTGATCTACACCTCTTTCGTCACTCCACCCAGGAGTAAAATTTGTACCTGACTAAATTAGCTGGGGAGGTTAAAGGCAGTGAAAGTAGAGGGATGGGCTCCACCTCCTAATATCGTGGCTTAGTCGATAAACAACCTACTGCCCTGCGGCCTAAAAATGTGATGGTATTACCTTTAGTGCGTATTGTCTATCTTGTGATTACATATACCTTTCTTTTTTCTTTTAATTGTCTAATATAGATGTAAACGAGTGTGGAAGTGCTATAGATAACTGTGCTCAGGAGGCAACCTGCACAAACTCTCCGGGATCTTACAAGTGTTCGTGTAACGCGGGATTTGTCGGGAACGGGATTCAGTGTGAAGGTAAGCAGTTTACATTTCTCACAATGGATGAAAAACGTGTGAGCAATTATCATCATCTTTTCATGAGTATATTGCACTTACATTCTAAAAAGCAGTCGTTTTATTACTGATCAATGTCTTTCATATGAAAGACGACATTTCGTGTGACAATACCACTAGTGATCACCTTTCATACTTGTAGTAGACACTGCTTACTTGAAGGAACATATATGTTTTATTGAAAACAGAAAGGAGTCACCGTTCCACCTGCCATTTTGCACAATATTTCTGTAAGGATGCACAAGAAAATGTATATAAACCTGCATATTATATGAAGCTACAGTGATTACTATAACTGTTAGTTAGAAGTTAGGAGATGATTTGTTGGTCTAGTGGTAAACTAGTACATATAATTGCATTCCGTTGCCGCAGATATTGATGAATGTGTAAGGGGAGAAGCTGACTGTGACATCGACACAAAAGCCGTCTGTACCAACCTGATTGGAGGCTACAACTGTACATGTTATAATGGTTACGAAGGAGACGGTAGGCACTGCACAGGTAAGAACACACCCATCTTTCATCATTGGTCACTCGAGTATAATTCAATGCCTTATGTAGCTTGTTTGTAAAAAAAGGTGTAATATTAAAAAGAAATAAATGGACAAAGCCGTGTAAAAAGGGTTAAAGGGATTGTTAAGAAAATGAAAACTATGGCCGTCAAAAAATTAAGAATCAGTGAGGAAGAAACTGATGTGTATATCTCATTCTCCACAGATGTGAATGAGTGTATGACTGACAACGGTAAATGCTCTATGAACTGCTCCAACACTGATGGAAGTTATACCTGTAGCTGTGAGGATGGATACAGGCTAGCGGTCGATGGTTTCAAGTGTGATGGTAAAAAAATACGTTTTTACATTTTACCCATTCACCATTTGATTTAAAACGAAGATCAATGGCATCCGAAATGATTTTGCGATTGTTTTAAATGTTAAATTGAAATAGCATTTAATACTTTACTTTGCATTCAGATTAATTCAATTGCAAGCACGGTATCAACTTTGGCAACTTGACAAGTTGACAAATTTGATACCGTGGAACTTTTTAACCTCTTTCATTCCCCGTCCAAAGTTAGCTTTATTTAGCTTTTGGGGCGTTTTGTTCAACCATCTATCATTGTGACTTGTTGTCTGGACAATCACTTTACTAACACTGCATCATTTGTTATTCAAGATCTCTACTTGTTCACTAAGCCTCAGTTTTTTCGATTAACCTTTCTTTTGACACGCCAAAAAGCAGTCACTCAAGCAACTGAATATGATTTTGAAAACGTCAACGTTTGACGTTTTTAAAATCATGTCCAGTTGCTTAAGTAACCGCTTTTTGGCGTATCGTATTACCTGGATGTCTAACCTTCATTGACCTTTCTTTTAACATCTTTATTTTTAATATTATATTTGTACTTTCATTTTGGGGTTTTGTCTCGAGAATATTTCCAAACCACCAATATGAAACTGATTGAACAACAGCGACGTATTGCTATAGATATTGACGAGTGTGCAGAACAGCTGGATGACTGTGAACAAGCCTGTACAAACACAGACGGTGGGTTTAACTGCTCGTGCGTCCCAGGATTCATTCAAGTCGGGGACTCCTGTGAAGGTAGCGAACTTTCCCATAGAGCATTTCTTTCACACTCAGCCTGCTAAGGTAGCTTTTTGGTAAACTGGGTAGATTAGTGGATTAGAAAAAAAAAGCATTAGATGTTGTCGGGTCATATATATTATTGTGTTTGTTCTCCGAGTGCTTTGTATGGTTGTATGGTTGAAATGTATGTATGGTAAACGCTCCAAGTAGCATCTGCATCCACTACTGACCAACCTTAGCGGATGCTACTTGAAACGTTTGGCAGTTTTCACAAATTTTGCAATTACTTGAATAAAAAGTTTCTGTAATAGAATGATTCAACAAGTTGACTGTTCTTTTCAGCCTCTGTAAATTGCACCCTAACCGTCTGCACGAATGCGGATTGCTTTGTGGAGAATGGAATCGAGAGTTGCCTGTGTTTTTCTGGCTACAACATCACCTACAATGCCACAGTTTGCACTGGTAAGCCTGATGATAGCAGTTCAATACCAATGACAAAGTATAACATATTTGCTACGAATTCATGTCCAAAATTAGCCTAATCCATGTACAAATTAACCAAAACTATCAATTAAGTTTACTTTCAAACAAAAAGAAAAAAGAAGCAAGCCCTCAAGTGTACAGTTAGTAGATGTAATAAGCAAGGTTGATGTGACTATTTAGTTTTTAGTTAGCACTAAACATTCTAATGTGTACTAGATTTGTTTCTAATGATCATAATTATGAAAAATTTTTAGAAAATTATACTGACAGAGGTACATGTAGTGAAATTGTATCACAGACATCGACGAATGTTCAAGTGACACCCTGAATACCTGCGACCAGCTGTGTAACAACACAAACGGAGGTTACACGTGTGGTTGCGACAGTGGCTACATGATTGGTACTGATGGTCGAGCATGCACTGGTGAGATATCATACTAGTATTTGTTTTCCCCAACATGCAACTGACAATAACAGAGATTTTGATTGCTTTTCAACCTTATTACTACGTGTTTTCAATTTTAATCGTGCAAGAGTTAACTACATTTTCCATAACAGGAATCTTTTTCAAGGTTTGGGAGAGTTTTCTGTCTCTACTTTTTCTAAGTTGGGCTACGTAAATTCAGTCAGTCACAGCATGAGTATGATCCAATTTTGCCATGCTCATTTTAAAAATAACTTTTTTTTTCAACATTTGATAGATACTGATGAGTGTTCAGACAGCAGCCTGAACGATTGTGATCCCAATGCCTTCTGCAACAACAACCAGGGAGGGTATACCTGTAGCTGCAGACAGGGCTACATCGGCAATGGGACATCCTGTAAAGGTACGTTAACATTCTCTGAGCATTACAAGAAAACTCAAGATACCTTACAATATACCATGCCAGTGGCGGCTGTCAGATGCTCTGATCCGTACTGTATCACAGATTTATTGAATTTAACCAAAACGGTTTTTTAAACTTTTGAATGACAAAAATGAGGTACGGACCCAGGTTGACTTTTTGACTTACCTATGCACCCAAGCCAACGAATTTGGCACAGCAAAAAGCTAGAAGCATCACTTTAAAGGTAGATCATCGTAGCGAACGTTAAATAACTAGGTATCTCAGGAAAAATAAGTACTTGTACATCAGCATCAGATAGCAAGGATACAGTCATGATATAACTGTTTAAAGCTTTGCATGATATAAACATTATAGAAGATTTGATGCGCTCGGTGCTTCTATGAAAAGTAAAGGCGCACGGCTCAAATCTTGGAGTTACATCGTTCCAAAAATAAAAGCTGTCTTAGAGGCTGTTAAGTCATATAAATTGCTCAAGACGATGATGTATTTTGTTATGTATCAATTTTCACGCAGATAACGATGAGTGTACATTCGGCAGTCGAATTGAGAATTGCAGTGCGAATGCTCAGTGTTTCAACTTCAACGGTGGTTTCAACTGCACCTGTCGGGACGGGTATACAGGAGACGGCTTCTTCTGTGCCGGTAAGGTCTTCTTTGCTTCCACCGTTCATTTGTCACAAAGTGTACATTTTGATACTCAAAAAAGATAAACATGTATGATGTAAATATATATCGTTTCTGACTACAATTGGTATGTTTAATGGTATTGTCCATAGATGTGGATGAATGTACCGGTGATTCAGCACACTGCCATGAACAAGCAGTATGCACAAACGTCCTGGGCAGCTTTGAATGTACCTGCAAAGATGGGTACAACGGCACCGGAACAGTATGTGAAGGTACATGAAATAGATTAACCTCGTCCGGTAAAAATACCTGGCGATCTTTAATGGTATCGTTTTAAAAAAAACAATATGGGGGGATATAATAAGGGAACTCCAGGTGATATCTCAGCGATCAGCTATAACATTGTAACACCGCTGAATGATAACATTGAAAAACATTTGATGTGGTTTGGTTAATGTCCCTAATATTAAAGATCTGTGTTATCCATGTAACGATATATACATAGTATAGAATCGTATAGTATGTAAATGATGATGCTGTACAGGCAATGTACGCATCGGACTTGTCCGCCACCAGCGGTCGTGCAGCAGGAGAGAGAGGGGCCCCTGACAATCTTCGAAAACGAAGCTAAGCCAAGAAGAAGACAGGCAATGCCTAGCTGTAATAGCTATCAATTTGCATCACTAAAGAATGTGCAAAATCATTACTTTAAGGATTACCAACATGGTGATGATTATGATGAGGATTATTATGTTTCAATGACTGACTAGTACATAAATTTCGTTCAAGACATTGATGAATGTGAAGACGGGATTAGTCAATGTGATGGAAACGCAACTTGCACCAACACTGCTGGCTCCTACACCTGCACATGTGATGATGGGTACATAGGTACAGGGAGAACCTGTACAGGTAAGCACTCGTGACTTGTGTGACCCTCACACCCAGACCACGATTCAACTCTTTAGAGTTAAAGAAAAAAAGGATGCCTTCAGAAAACTTCTAAGAGCATAAAGCGTTTTGTCTTAAAACGTTTATTCTCTATCTTTAATCCTTACATCATTCCCAATCCCATCATCTGCTCTATTACTCCATACTAGTCGTGTACGATTCACTACTTAAATGTAATTAATAAGTAAGAGTAGAAACCTTGATCGTGTTAATATTACTGATCTGTATGGAAACTGTCAATTTTGTGTTATCTATATACACCCTTAACTCGTTTTCAACAGTAAATAACATTCCAAATGCTCAAATGTTTATCCAAATCTTCTGCCAGATGTGGACGAGTGTTTAAGTGGGCAAAATAACTGCCATGAACAGGCATTATGTCTAAACACGGAGGGCAGCTATGTATGCTCCTGCAATACTGGTTTTACAGGCATCGGGACGTATTGTGAAGGTAAGCTGGGGTAATTTTTTCTGCCACACATGCGAATCTGTTGCATAACTTATACCAGTTAACACTTATTTTCATTATTTTCTTTCATCAAGAGTTTTTTAGCTTAAAAATTCTAGAACACTTCATGTTTCCTCCACTCTTGTAAAACATTTTTTTTCTTCGGGGGACTCATTACCTAATGTTTGTTTCCCTTAACTTTTTATATTGACGTATGTAATTTTAATTTATAAACCATTATAATTTTCTATGATGAATGTAATTTCTATAGTATTATTCTGTAGTAATTTCATCAATCATAAGTGGTGTCACCATTAAAATCAAAATGTTGTTATCCTCATCTTTGCCAAAATACAACTGTATTTACGTTTACTAATCCTTTAAAGATTAATATTTGCAAGTAAATATATCAATATTTACAAGTAAATATATTATATAGGAACATGTTTTATTGACACAGAAGATATTGTATTTTTGATGACGCTGATGCTAATAAGTTTACCATATTTCAGATGAAGATGAATGTAAAAAAGGCACAAATACCTGCACAGGAAACTCGGTGTGTACGAACACTGTCGGTTCCTTCACTTGTCCCTGTAAGTCTGGTTACTTTGGGAGTAACTGTGTGGATGTCCATGAGTGTGAGGACGGCATTGACAACTGCCATGACCACGCAGACTGTACAAACACCCCTGGTTCCTACGGCTGCACTTGTCATTCTGGTTACTTTGGAGATGGAACGGTCTGTACAGGTGAGAGAATTTTCACAGTTTGATACAATATTTGCTTGGCATGACCTAATGAGGTGTATGTCAAAAATTTATGTGAATCAAAAAATGACACGATTTGTGTAGGGCACAGATTTTAAGCAAGTACACATGATAACTAAAGATGTGTATTAGTATGTTTAAATTTACCCCGTGTAGACCAGCATAGGCAGAGTTTGATGACCCGAACATATAATTTGTTCAGTAGTCATTTCCATTGGGAACAAAATGTAATTGCTGTAGGCTTTGCAATAGATTTAACTTTATAATCATTCTGTGGAAAAATGTCTGAAAGTATCATCTTATGTCTTAAGTATCTACATGACAACGTTTTTGTGACCAAATACGTGATTTCTTTTTTTGCATCAGATATTAATGAATGTGAAAACGGAACGACTCAGTGTGATGGAAACGCAACGTGCACCAACACTGTCGGCTCCTATACCTGTACATGTAATACTGGGTATACAGGCACAGGGAGAACGTGTACGGGTAAGTTATAATACTTGTTTTATTATCATATCATATCATAACTGATTCCTTCGTTGGTACATTTACATGCACATACTTCCAGCTTAGCCCCCGGTTATCTACTCAATGCATGCATTTGCAACCACCAAATACACAACTATCACACTAGACAAGCACAATTATTACACAGACCCAACTACACATCTAAAGCAGGCCAACGTACATTTGCATATAGAGCGGCAGTAACTTACAATTCTCTAAACACTTACACAAAAAAAGCACCCACCCTTAAATCTTTTAAAGAGAGACTGAAATATGACTAGTACTGACCTTCTGACACTCCACTCCTTTCGAAAAATGACCGATTATAATTAAAGTATTTTTTGTTATTTACTTGATTTGTATATATGGTTTTTTACTAATATGTTCAAGTACTTTATTGTTTATGATCTACTAGTCCTAAGTTTGTATTATTTGAGCTTGACCTCTGACATTTCACCTCCGACTGTATTTTAATTTATGATTTCACTGCTATATTCAATTTTTATCATTTTATATTGCTTTAATTCCTGTATGGGCTCCCTTGGAAATCAGTCCCAAGGGGACTGAAGGGACCACCCATGTGTCTTGAAGATTAATAAATAAATAAATAAATAAATGTGCAACAACTACTGGGAGACGAGTACAACCAACTGACAGAGATCTCGAAGTAGATCGCCAACCTTGCTCGCGACAAGGGGCAGTGGAGGGACCTTGCAGATGGCCGATGATGATAAACATGCAAGACGATTCTGGAAGATTGAGTCTGTCACAGACATTGTTGGTTTATACGTATACATTAGCAAAGTTATTTTGTCACAGCCATTTTGTCAACATGTGAAAACTTTCGATGTCCGTCTGCCATGTTCTTATATGACAAAATCACTTACTTCTTTTACTTTGGCCGAGCTCCCGCTAGAACCAATCCCGAAGGCACTTGCCATCCCTTTCTGTCTATCATCATGGACCGGAGCTCCCTCACCTCAGTAAGGCCGGCATCTGGCTTGAGGTTGTCAATGTAGGTTATCCAGGGACTGCCCCGATTTCTTTAGCCTCTTGTAGACTCCCAAACACGTTTGGAAGCCACAGTATCAGGATGGCTGACACAGCGCGCTGCCAGCTTCATCCTGCAAGTTTTGTTGACAAATTTGCCTACTTTTTTCTAGATGTTGATGAGTGTGCAACGCAGCCTGACAACTGTGATGACAACGCAAACTGTACGAACACTCCCGGATCCTATAGCTGCATGTGTTATACTGGTTACTCTGGAAATGGTACTGTCTGCACGGGTGAGAAAAGTTTCTAACGTGTTCATAAAATATTTGACAGTGATGTGTTTCAGACAAAAATATTTATTGCATGATTTTGTTAGATTGCATGATTTTGCATTATTGGATGATGATGTTTTTTCTTAGATTCTTATCTACTTGTTCATTTTGTATTAGGCCAACAGCAAATAATTTCTACGGCTGACTTCAGAGCGCGCATTGATTGTCGCCTGATTTTGGAAAATAAAAGACAACAGATTTTGTTGCCTTCTGAAAGAATCAAAATATGAAGAGAGGAGCCAAGACAAGGCTTTGATGCAGTGATGTACTTCATCCGTTTGTGTGATGTTCCCACTGAACTAAAACCACGTGTACAATGATTGAAAACTTTTATTTTTCAGTGACAGTAAAGTGACAATAAATGTTGTAATAGTAGGCAGTAAACGTAACACAATATTGTTATAATTTCTTGTTTAACAAGGTTCATTAAGTCACAATTTGTAAAATGTAGGAATTTTGTTTTTGGCCCACCTTGTATTTTTCGCGTATCGCATTCGATTTTAACTCTCCGGAATATGGCATCCATAAAATTTACTTGCTGTGGCCATACATCTGTACGTTGCTGAAGATCAGCCGTCTCCAGTTGACCTGCCTGTGCTGACACAAGTAATGACATGTAGCATTGCCAATAAATACGAATACAGAATACAAATACCATTTCAAAGTTCTGTGAATGAACATTTGACACAATCCGTACTTGAGATACATTATAAAAGATGGCAAAGATAGTAAATACAAATGGAGAAAAATATTGAAATAATTCCTGATATAAACCACACTTACAGCAGTGACAACAGAAAACACCCGAACTCCAACAACAACTCCAACACCAATGACTGTCACTCCAGAGCCGCGTAAGTTCAAAAAATTATTCTATTTCATATCATCTCCTTAATTCAGTTGCTTTTGGTAGGAATGGTACGTACCTTTTGTTATCATAGACTTTTTTGTTTTAAATTCTACATTTTCACATGAAAGCCACGATATGTTGTACCAATTCATCTTATTATTTATTATGTTATCTTTTACTAACGGACTCTGAATTTTGGTATTTCATAGCAAAACCACGAAAGTTTGTACCAGCCCAAATAACAATGAAGATGGAGTTTCGGACTCAATACAATGACAAGACTTCAGCAGACTACGTGGAGTTATCATCACAGTTGAAAACATCAGTAAGTGAACAGAATTACTTGTTTGTGTGTCCAACATATCAACTTACAACTAACTCTTTCAATCTGTATTTCATCTTGAGGCCATGGTACTAAATGTCGTTAGATCATCGTAACGCTAGGAATTAAGGTGGTGTTGTTGGCTGCCAACTCAAAAGCCCTATTATTGCATGACACGGCCCATTTTCAATTTATAGCTTATTTTGAAATACCATAGGTCGTTGGGTTGCATACATCTAGTATGTATATTCATAATCACTTATTGTTGATCTTTTGTCATCTTATCACTGCTAGCTCTCTGTCATCTACACCGGAATTCCTGGGTTCATCGAGATTATCATTCTTCAATTAGTGTAAGTAGGGGCAATATCACTTTCCGGTCCATTATTACCTTCGCCAAGAAGGTTATGTTTTCAGTAGCGTTTGTCTGTGGGTATGTATGTGTGTGTGTGTGTGTGTGTGTGTGTGTGTGTGTGTGTGTGTGTGTGTGTGTGTGTGTGGTTTAGCAAGATAACTCGAGAAGCAGTTCATGGATTGGAATGAAACTTGGTAGGTAGGTAGGTCTTCATGAGACCTAGAAATGATTAGATTTTGGGCCCCCTGGCGGCTTTCCTAGGTACTGCAGCAGAACTTCCGGTTTTGATATTTCGTGATCTAGACATGCTAGGGTCACGAATTTTGGTTGGTAGATAGCTCTTGTGGTAGGGAAGAAGTGACATGAATTTGGGTCCCCTAGCGCCTTGTTCTGGAACTGCAGGAGTCATTTGTTGAAAAATTTGAAGGACGATAACTCAAGAACCGGTTGACGTATTGTCGTAGATTTTTGGTATGTAAGTAGTTGAAGTGATGCTTGACATAATCAGATGGCAATTATGGAAATCAGGAGCTAATTTGCATAATTAATGAGGGAATTCTATAAATCTGCTTTGTTCGATAGTAGAACTATGAAACACTTACTACTTACTTAAGACATCTACTTGAGAACAAGAAAACATCTGAGGATATAGATAATATAATTGAGGACCTAATTTGCATAATTAATGGAAAATTTTTATTATTCCATAGTTGTGACTGCTGCACCCCGAATTTCATACTTGCCACATTTGGAAGTTAAGTGAAGGTGGACATCGATAAACATAATTTATTCAAATCATGACCTCATTTGCATAATTTATGAGGAAGTGCTACAATAGCCTTATTGTTATGATAAGGCTGTCATTGGGTGGAGAATAGGATCAACTGATATAATCCATGCAAATTAGGCCCTTATTTACAAAATCAATGATTACAATTGTATATTTCGTCAACCGTAAGGGTTAACATCATTTGGCGAAGGTATGCGATCGTAGAACTCTTGTATTGTAGTATGCAACTTGTATGCAGCTTTTAATTCGAAGAAATTTCAAATACTAGAAACCATGCTAACTTTAGACACCTAGACCAGTTACCAGATCCAAAACATTTCTAGGCTATTATTGCATACAGTTACTTGTATGGGCTGCTATGTTGCCATTTTGCAAAGTATGTTGCTTACATCTTTGTTTTTAACCTTTAGCGAGGGTAGTGTAAAGGCCCGATACGCCGCTGTTTTCGCCGTGGAAGAATCTCAACCTGACAGCATCATCCAGGATATGGCTAGGACGAACCTTCAGCAGGCGAACACTAGCGGCAGGTTTGACCCCGCGCTCCAGGTCACCAGTAGTAACAGCCTGCAGCCGATTGTGCTTACGGAAGAAGGTAGGGTATTAATGGTAGACACCGTGAAACACAAACAGCAGCATATGGTCACGCTTATTGACAGTTTAAGTTGTTGAAAGGAGTCACGTTTCTTTATATCTCCCCATGACATTTCTAAAAGAAAATCTCTTACGGTATGTTGACAGCACATGGGTAGGAAGATTGACAGAAGGTCAAAGGTTCTACAGAAATTGGCAATGAGCCCGTAAAAATGGGGGGGGATAGGGGAAGTCAGAAAAACGAGGATTGCATGCTTTCATGGTGTCTGAAATCTCCGATTTCTTATTCAATTACAATCTACTGTAGAGTTGGAGCAAGTGGTTGGAGGATTCTGCCAGGATGTGCAGTGTGGGGAGGGGGCGTGTGTTCACGGAATGAGCCGTACCCCGGAGCTGTCATAGCGGAGTGCCAATGTCAGGAAAACTTCTGCAACACGGGGACCTGTGAGTACAACGTTCAAGAGGGACCGAAATGCACGTAAGTATCAAAACTACCCTCTTTCGGATAAAATATAATAGTCGAGTTGACTTTTACGTCCAACACAACAGATGCCTGAAAATTTGTGAATTTTTAACTGATACCAGAAAGTCATAGTTTGGTCAAAGGTTGTAATGTTTTGTTGTGTTTTGCTGTAGAGAACGGAAAGTTCGAGGCTTATTTTTTTTAGGCCGAACTGTTAAATTTCTGATAGTGCAACGTTTGATGATCAATTGCCGCTTGCTACAATGTACAGCTGCCCGGCAGTAGAGGGTTCTTGGTACGGAGGGGAGCGATGTCAGATCCGTTTGACCCAAGCGGACGTGATCGGTATTGCAGCAGGTTGTTTGTGTGCGTTGCTGGTGGTCGCCCTGCTGGTGGCTGTCTGTATGGCCAAGAGGTCCAGACATTCGGCAAAAATGAAGTAACGTTAACTTGGCTTCTCCGATCTGTTTTCCCGCCACGACGTACATTTCTTTAAAGCCTTTGCATATAGACTTTCTATGGGGATTGAGATTTTTTAGATCTTTCCCTGCATATTGTATATGCCAGAAAAGCATGAATTACATAATCAAGATCAAACAAGCTGATTCCGACCTGCTCTTCTACCATGATGTAGGCATTCTTGTATCAGTCCGTATTTAGTGTTTATAGCTATGTGGCTGATTCTCTAACGACCGTTACCTTTGTTGCTGTTATTGACTGTTCATTTATTAACAAGGTTTTAGGTACAGGGTTTACGTAAAGCGTGAACATTTATTGTAGTTACAGGATTAGCTCACCTCCCGTCACCCTACCCAACTACTACACCGCCTCAGAGTCGTGGCAACCGTTTCGTGGCCTTCCGGTCACTGACCTGAGTGAAGACCAGGACGACTACCTTTCACCTGTGGTAAATGAACATTTCATAAATCAAAGAGCTTCGTGAGTTAACGTTAAAAGCAGCCTCAAAGCAGCCTCCCCTCTCTCTTGATACAGAGAACTGTGAAAAGTATGTACGTATGGACATAAACTTACAATGTGTACAGCTTTATACATACAAAAACTGTTTTTTATTTCACTCACTCACTATCCTGGTTTAGATTTTACTGCTGCCGGTTTCCCTGTCCCAGGGGTGGGCAGCAGTCGGCTGTTAATTTCACTTGAAGAAAATCAAATTTGTGTTTTCCTTGATGTTTGTGAATTTGGGACGTTCTTATCTTCTGGCGATGTTACCAAAGAAGTTGATGATGTGAGCAGCCATGGGACTACATTGATGAACAAAAAACTTTAAAATATATTCCAACTTTCTCCCC